GTTGCATAAATAAATGAAGAATTAATAGATAGATTTTAATGGATTACACATGATTTTTTTTTTAATTAAGTATACGCAGTGTGGGATAACCAATAATATATACATATATTAAATTACCCAAATAATTTCGATTGGTTTTTTTATGCATTGGCATATTTATATATACATACATTTCCATATTTTGTTTTATCTACACAAATTTTAACGTTATCCTAATTTTTTATTTGTGCCATATTAGGGGCAGTGAAAACATATGATTATTTTACTAACCCTAAGTTGTGAAAAATAAAGTAATTATTTGTTTAGCTCTGGGAAACCTACCGAGGTTAATTAGAGACAATATTTGATCCTGGACTGGACCCCGTCTGTATAATTTGATCTGCTTGACAGGGCTGAACCTACACGGACCTTTGGCTGACTCATCCTCCAGTGCAGTCCACATCCGCTCCATCCCAATCGAAATCCCAGACCACTTGATATTCCTGCTCCGTTCGCCCGGAGACGTCGTTCGACGTAGTTCGCTCATAAATTTTGCATTTGCTGTGTGATTTTCCTTTTTAGACGCGACAAGATTTCACTGATTTCGCATATATCCCAGCACATATAATATATTCGCCTGAGCATTCTATACTCTGTTCTGTACTTTTTAGCCGTTTTGTGGTAATCGCAGGTCTGCCATCAATCACGTAATTCCCAGCATGTTTTGCCGCCGATCCCATCTGTATCTTGACGCAGTATCTTCTCACACCAAACAAAGCCAAACGCAGAGTCTATAAACCCGAAAATCTCTCGTATAAATGCTGTACCGAAACAAAAGGCCCATTAATGACAAATGCAAAATAACAAAATAATAAAGCAATATTCGCAAACCAGTCATTGCATATTAATGGTACCCTCATCAAAAGCCACTCAAGTGCACACTTTGACGGTATGATCCGATCTTGTTCAGATCTGTTCAAACACTTGACAATGACATGATTCGGTTTTGATATTTAATTACTTTATTTTGGAAGCACAATGGATTGCAGATTGTTTGATGCCTTAATAAATACAAAATGTAAGGCTAGGTTTTAGTTGTGTAATTTCTTTTTAATGCTATCTAATTAAATTTGCAATCTGTCACTGTCACTTTAACTTGATGGGACATCGAGTTGATGGGACATCAAGTTTAAGTTGTAGGTGTATGGATTACAATTACCAAAAAGTGTTGCACAGTAATCACACTGAAAAAAATATATAATTGAACTTGACCCCTTACATGAGACAATACTTTAAAATAACACTATTCATTTAAAGTGAGAAGTCTGATTTTCACACCAAAACCTACAATGTTTATATGACCCTATACCTTTAAAGTTTATCACAGAAAATAAGTGCGAAATCTGAATTTCGCAACTTGTTTAGAACTTACATATTACTTATTGATTTTTATATTGGCTTAAAAAAGTTTTCATCTCCTTTAACAAAAAAGGAAGCTATTAATCCAATTTTTATGAATTTTTATATTAAAAATGATTGCTTAGTATAATTAAATGATACAAAATTGTTTCCAAGTTAAAATGGATTTTGTCTTGGCCATTCAAAAAGATTGCTATATTTATTCATTTAATAAATTAGTGAGATTGATTGTGTCTTTCAACAAAAGTTTATACATGGTCAAATAGCTTGCATCTCCAAGACGGAATCGTGTCGCAATAATCAAGCTGCAATAAACGGATTTTTAGAACCCCATAAAATAGAGCAGTACAAAAACGAAAGTTAACCTTGGTTAGCCGTCGCTCAAGAATCGTAAATCCATCTGAATGGCTGCACTCCCAAAAATGGTCAGCTCCATCATCGCGATAATAGCGTAAACAAATTGCCAAGTCATTCGGGTTTTTGCCATGCGATATTCTGGCAAATCAACAAGCAAATAACGTTAACCAAACAAAAGTGGAAAAACAACATCCAAAAGAAATCAAAGTCAAAGTCTAGGAGCTGCAAATCCGAAAGGTAATTGCCAGGGCTAATTCGGAATACGGAGTACGGAAAATCGACTCGTCACTGCATAATTATTCGAGTAGACTCGATGATGAGAGGGCTAGTGTCTGGTAATTTGCCGCTTCTGCCGTGATTTACTATTGACTCTGGTGTCGGGCTCCTTGATTTATTTTATGACTCAACGCATCGCAGCGTACGCCGCCGACTCCAGTATGTTCTTATTACATAAAAAGTCCAGCTCTTAGGCGCGATGATTCGAATACCCTTTCAGAATACAATAATAAGTAATAATAATAAGTAAATTCTTACACTAAATTTTTAATAAATTAAATTAACTATTAATTAATATTAAGCAATACACTTAAATTGTATACATATATTGTATATATTTACTATACCTACTTTTGTACTTCGGAATTAAAGTGTTCCGAAGAATATACAATTTTTTAAAAAACTTATCTGTCAACTTAAAAAATTATGAAGTTACTTACCCTCTAATTATAAAGTCAACATTTCTCTGTATATTTAAAATCGTTTGTGAAGAAGTTAATTTTAGAACATTTTGCTTGGAAAAATTCGTTAGGGAATTCCCGCTAGGCTATTATTGTTTATTGGTTGACGACGCTTTTTTCCTACGATGTCGCAATTTTATGCAAAAATAAAATACCCCATCGAGAGTATAAAAATATCAGTCACGGTAGAACGCAAAATTACCAACACATTGGCTTCACAATCACACACTGGAAGACACACATGGACATGGATGAACGGAATCCATTGAAATTCAGAGCGGGTTCAAAGACGGTCGGCCAAGGCAACAAATCGTGCAAACAACATCTCGCCGAATTGCATGGGGCAACATCTTCATTCCGGGGGTTTTGTGGACCTTTTCTGGGAGTCCGGGGGAGTTGGTATAAAGTTGAAGTCGCCAAAGCGATTCAGCTAAATGCATTCGAGTGCTTTATTGATTGGATTTCGTGTGCTTCGCAGAGAGTGAAAACATGTATGAAAATCTATTAATTCTACTCGGGGATAAGCAAATGCATCTCAAGTGGCCCGGATCCGGGAATCGGGAGGGGCAACAGTCAACTGTCCAAGTGGCTGACGTCGACACGGACTTGGCTTTTGGTTGACAGGTGTTGACTGAACTTCCAGCCGGCAGTCAGGCTATTAATGAAAACAGGTACGAGTTGTAAACGATAGCCGAGTTTTCCGACTACCAGATACCCGGTCATTCATTCCTACGGCTAAAAATAACACACCTAATTTGGAATGGAAATTAGATACACTCTTTGCCGTTTAACAATAATTGGGTTTAAAATGAAAATTCGAGGCACTACTGACGTCACTTCGTTTGCATTGCAGACAATGATTTGGCAATCAGCATTTAAATTTGATGTAATGAATAGCTCTTATTATCTATAAACTTAAAAACAAGGATAAGTTTAAATAAATTTATTTGTAATTTAAATCGAACTAAAAGACGAAAAAAATTAATTTGATTAATTTTTCTAAGTGATTAGGTTTCCTAAATCCTGTATAATATACCCCTGATTCCTATAGAAATGCTATCTATTTGATGTAAGGGTTGAGAGAGTGCAATTTAGAATTTTCCTATAGCAGACCTCAAACTTAGCGTGTACTTGACTTCCGACTTGGAGTATTACTTATTTGTATGTTTACCGAATCTAATAATGTTTGACTTCCATCAATTGACTATAAAGTGAGAAAAAAGCGCTGGCAATTAGCTGGGGATCCAAATACCCATCTATTTTATGGGGAAGATGCGAAAAAGGTTTTCCGGCGACAATTTCGAAGTGCCAGCAAGTAAGGAGGCTTCAACTGCCCGGTAGTAAAAGCCAAGTTAACGCATCAAAGTGGCTTTCAAATATTAATTACGCGCTGACTGGCCTAAAGGTCAGCTCCAAATACTTAGCCAAGGCAAAATTTAAGATGGGACGCAATCGTGTGGGACTAACTTTATGAATATATTATAAAACAAGAAAGGAAAGCTAACTTCGGGCAGAGCCGAAGTTGAAATACCCTTGCAGAATATTCTGTACATTATATTCTCCAACATTATTTATATGATGCATTCTTAACACTCATAAAAATCCCAACTTCCTAACTTTAAAAACACCAAAGTTATGGCATTTCCGATCAATCAGTTATATGGCGGCTATAGGATATAGTCGGCCGATCCTTATGAAATTTGGTAGGTCGGATTAAGTGGCCAAATATAAAACTCATAGAAAATCCGAACTTCCTAACTTTACAAACACCAAAGTTATGGAATTTCCGATCAATCAGTTATATGGCAGCTATAAGATATAGTCGGCCGATCCCGGCCGTTCCGACTTATATACTGCGTGCAAAGGAAAGAAGGGTGTGTGCAAAGTTTGAATTCGATATCTTTAAAACTGAGAGACTAGTTCGCGTAGAAACAGACAGACGGACAGACAGACGGACAGACAGACGGACAGACAGACGGACAGACGGACATGGCTATATCAACTCAGGAGGTGATCCTGATCAAGAATATATATACTTTATAGGGTCGGAGATGTCTCCTTCACTGCGTTGCACACTTTTGACCAAAATTATAATACCCTCTGCAAGGGTATAATGAAGGGCTTACAGGGTCTAATGCATTTTGTGGCATTTGTTTTTCAAAGTCAAATTTGACCGGCAATACATTTAATATAGAGAATAAATATTGTAAAGTGCTCAGGCTATGAGGTAGTCAATTAACGAGGCAGAAATTGATTGATTATCCTCTAATCTATAAGCGTTGGAATAATTATATCATAATTATTGGCCAATGCACGAGAATCTAATTTGTTGGAAAGGCCAAAAACTAGGAGATGTCACAGAATTTTCAGCACTTTTCTGTTGGCAGCCAAACGATGACGAGAGTACTGGTCATTTGTCTGCTGATTTTATTATTTGAGCATTATCAAAGTGTAATAACTTGTTTTTATTTCTGTTAAACATCTTTCGTAATTTATTATATATTTAAGGCTGCTGTTACTTTTAAACTAACCAATGCAGTGTGTGAATCCTACAACAAATCCTGGGTGGAGTTCGGTATATGTCGACTGCGAGCAGTGGATCGGAATAAAGTCTGCCTTAATATCGATGTTAACTTGCTTCATCCGGTACACGATGTTATAGTGAAGGCCCAATTGCTTAAAAAAGCTAATGGATATAAGCCTTGGCTCTATAGCGTCAATTTCGATGGCTGCCAGTTTATAAGGCGGAGAAATAATGCTTTAATTCGGCTTGTTTGGGAACTTTTTAAAGAGTACTCGACAATCAATCACTCCTGTCCATATGTGGTAAGTCTGAAAAAATAAATCTAAACAATAATTAATCCAATCCTACTTTCGTTAGGGTCTACAACAAGTCAAGAACTTTTATCTACGATCAGAGAAGCTGCCTACACCCATACCCACTGGGGATTATCTGTTGATGATCGACTGGATATTTAATAAAAAGCCGCAAGCTGCAACAAATGTATATTTTACTTTTGTGGAGGATCTTAAAAATAGTTGAAAATGTGCTCTTTTGTAATCCGGAAACTACATTCTTGTTTTTTTTAAAGATTTTGAGCTATTTAAAATAATCAATAAAGCATGAAAATAATAAATAAAATATTACATTTTTTTCAATTTACTTTAAGTCCAACATTTTTGCATTATTTTTCAATTTATTTTGACTAAAGAATGTAGGGAAACGCAGACAATAAACAATGTACTTTGTGGTACGTAAAATATTGTTCCATTCCATCAGCCATTTGAACGAAAAATGCTTATCTGAGGAATACAAATGCGATTATTAAATCTTTATTTCTGAGACCACCAACAGAATTTCCGCAGCCAGCGCAATATCGTAATCGTAATTTAAAACAAACAAAACCAAAATAATTACCAATTAAGCTTATTTTAAATTCACATTCCGTTTCGCACAACACAAAAACAGCCTTGCCGGGGTGGCAGCCACAAAAATCCGACAACTTGAATAAGCATTTAAAAAGTTTAGTGTTTTGCAATACATAAAGTTTATTCGGCTCTTAGGTGTTTCAGGTTCGTAGTTACATTCCGAAATGATAAAGAAATAATATAAAATTGGTACTTAAAGAAACAAAATTTTAAATTTAATTTCTGCAATTAAAATTTTATCCGATTAATGATTTAAAAATCAATCTCTCCTTTTCAGTTTTAGACAAAAGCTACGATTAGTCGCACATAAAATAACTAAATTAATTTTGAATTCTGTTTTACAAATACATAAGGAACAGCTTTCAATAATTATACAAAATTGATACTTAACCTATTATTAATATCCATTTGTCTTTCTTTAATATAAGGTTTTTTCGAAATGAATATATTCTGTAATCTTTAATAATAATCTTTAATAATTCTGTAATCTTTAATAATTCAATCACTTTTGGGGCAGAAATAATGATCCGGAGCCGGAACAATCGGTCTTCTTGTGGACCCGATACTGAAGGGTGTTATTGTTTCCCATACGCACAACTTCGCGTAGCTTGTATCCGATCTCCAGAATGGCATCTTCGTCCTTGGCATCATTAGTCCAAATGGATACCTTACTGACCTTATTGCGAATCCTAACGACAGCTCCACAGATCTGATCGCAGTGATCGCAGGCCTCGCCAATCAGGCAAAGCATAACATCGAGCCATATTATATCCAGTTCGTCCTTGGAGGTACCTCTCACTATGATCAACCAACGACCGCCCTGAATGTTTGTCGGATCTTCCCACATGGGGCGGATGTTCTTTTTGAAGAGCGAGTAATCAGAGCCCAATTTAAGCTTCGATGGCGGCTCGATACGGTAATACACACTCCAGAACTGATTAACGGTGCTGAAGCTGGCAATTTGGTTCAGCCTGTCCTCCCAGGACTGGCCGAGATCGGTGTTCAGAAGCCACAGGGTCCAAGTGTTCTGAAGATGGTGATTTTTAAGATGCCGGGATGGAGAAAGGGCGCCTGCTATTTCACCAGCCTGGGGATTCCCCTTATTCGCATTCGTTTCAATCAACGTTTTCAGATTATTCTTCCCCTTGGAATCTCCCATCTTATGTTTGTGGGTGGGATCACTTTGGTAACAAAGAGTATGGTTTGCTTAACTGCGTCCAATCTATAATTTTTTTGAGTTCTTAGGCTGACGCTATCGCAAGTTGTTCACTTTTTATTTGGCGGTAAAGTGTGACCGAATCTAGATGACTGAATTATTTCCCCACTCTTCTTTATGCTTTAACGGCATAATTCAATTGAAATTGATAAATAAGATGTATCCAATCCTACATGAACTCGCACTTTAAATAAAATGTGATAGGAAAGCAATTTTTCATACAAAAAAAATAGATTTGAAAATAATTTGTATTGAATTTAAATTATACTCACATAATTTTAAAGTAATAAATTTGAAAAAGTTGATTTATTTTAACCTGTTAATTACAAAAACTCAAAATATAAAATAATTTATCTTAAATTGTTTCTTGTAATTGCACATTGGCTTTCAATTCATTTATTCATATACATTCGATAATATTAAAATAATAATAATATTTAAATTAATATATTTTTTAAAATTATTTTTGTTAAGACTTTTTTGAAATGAAGGGTAATATTTTTAACATTTATTTTGGGCATAAATAAAGACAACTCGAATTAACTAGTTGTGACGACTCCGTTTTCAACCTTCAACTTGTACATCAATTCGGAGCCCATAAACACCTCCATGTGCCCCTGGTACTGAAGCGTGTAAGAGCTTCCCAGACGCACAAGTTCGCATAGTTTGTGACCAATCTCAAGGATGGCCTCCTCGTCCTTGCCATTATTAGTCCATATGGATACCTTTTTGACTTTTCGGCGAATCCTAATGCTGGCTCCGCAGATCTGATCGCAGTGATCGCAGGCCTCGCCAATCAGGCAAAGCATAACATCGAGCCATATTATATCCAAATCAGCTTTTGAGGTATTGTCGACTACGTTCAACCAACGACCACCCTTAATGTTTGACGGATCCTCCCACATGGGGCGAATGCCCTTTTTGAAGAGCATGTAATCGCATCCCGATTTGGGCTTTGATGGCGGTTTGATGCGGTAATACGTTCTCCAGAAGTCTTCGACGGTGCTGAAGCTATCAACCTCGCTGAGCAGGTCCTCCCACGACTTGCTGGCATCGTACTCCAAAAACCACAGGGTCCACGTGTTCTGAAGTTGGTGTTTTTTAAGATTTCGGGATTTGTAAACACCTCCTGATGATTCATCAGCGGGGGGCTTCCCCTTCTTCGTTTTAACTAAGAAATTCGTATTTGCAAAATTATCCATTCCCCGAAAGTCTCTTTGCACTTTAAATTTAATGATGCGTTTACTACTGTGGCGCAGATTATAGGAGCGCTTTATTTAGAATTATTTAACTAATATTTGCTTGTATTTTGTTGTGCATGCGAAGTGTGGCCAAAACAATATCAGTGCAAAATACCCACATTCATTTACTACGTCTACGATTTTAAAATTTGATTTGCAGTTTTTGATTTTTTTAAACTTTAAGTTGTGAGTTTTAAATGAAAATTTAATATTTTAAAAGTCCGCCCATATGAAAAAATATCGATTTATCGGTCTATGCTACCGTTATATGTAAAATTTTTATTTTTAGTAGACATACTTACATTTTACATGTAAGATACAAAATGATTAATTCCAAGTATTGTGGTACACGGCTTATTATTTAAACGCAAATGTTAAGAGTCATATTAATTTATCACAGAAGAAACTAAATACTAGTTGGGGAGCGTTAAGGACCAAGGACTTTTATACAGAAATGGTTATCTACGCACCTTATTACCGCAAAACGAAAAGCAATCGATATCTATCGATATTTCGGTGGTTTTATATCGACATCTCAGCCAGCTCTAATAAATATTGATTGCTAAAACAAAAGGTATTTTGCACTAACTTCTGGCCCGCAGTTGCTGCAAATTCACGCCAGGATGGACATGATAAACAAGTTCTACTCATCCGCCGTACAGACGGTGTCCACATTGTCGGGCGTTTTACCCGGTAATAATGTGACACGGGAGTACGAGGTGCTAGAACAGGTGTGCACCGCTGGAGTGGGTGAGTTTACCTTCCGTTCCTCTCCATACGGAACCCAATATGTTGTGGCTAATATCATGTACTCCCAATCGTATAGGCCTCATGTGGAAGGTGTACAATGGCCACAAAAAGAGCACAAAACAAGAGGTATCCGTCTTCGTCTTCGAGAAGAAGTCCCTGGAGCGCTGGTCAAAAGACGACAGGGAGACCATGTTGGAAACACTACGACGGGGCGTTCAGCAGCTGACCAAGATTCGACATCCACATGTTCTAACCGTGCAGCATCCGCTGGAGGAGAGCCGGGATTCCCTGGCCTTTGCCACGGAGCCTGTTTTTGCCTCATTGGCCAACGTTGTTGGCGATAATGTGCGCTCCGAAAAGAAACTATACGATGTGGAAATCCGTCACGGTCTGCTGCAACTGTTCGATGGGCTGCAGTTCCTTCACCAAGACGCCAAGATTGTGCACCGCAACATCAGTGCCGAAACGATCGTGATCAACAAGAACCGGAGTTGGAAACTCTTCGGTTTTGATTTTTGCATCGCCAACCAGCCAGCCACAGATGGCACACCCCACTGGCCATTTCGGGAATACACCACCTCGCTGCATGTCCTGGCGCAACCTAGTCTGGAGTACACGGCTCCGGAGTTGGCGTTAAACAGTGTCAACACGCCCGACAGTGATCTCTTTTCGTTGGGTAAGTACTTATATCTTTTCATTTTATTTGTTAACCATTGAAAAAACTTGAAGCCTATTATGTATGCATTAGTACAAAATTGTTAAATTCATATAATAAAGGTTTTGGCTTTATTTTACCAGACCCCCTATTAAATGCTATTTTTGTCAGCGAAAGTTAGTCATAACATGTACAGTTTTTTATTTTTTTTAGATAACCTTACAAATATTTTGCATGCGATTAGAGCATAAGACTACAAAATCCCTTAACATAAGATAACTAGTAGTTTCCTTGAGCTATTTTATACACGTTTCTGATGGAAAATGTAATTGCAACAAAGCAAGGAAAATTTTTTTTAAATTGACCAAATTTTTATTCTCATGTCATTCCATATTCTTTATATTACCTCTAGGTGTGCTCATCTTCACTACCTATGCCGGCAAGCCACTAAAGATGTTTGGAAGTGACTACAGCAGCTTTCGGCGGTACGCTAATGATTTGAACCAGAGAAAGTATCCACCCATGAATGCAGTGCCCAGCGAACTGACCGAGAGTCTCAAGGCTCTGTTGCATCCCAGTGCCAGTCTGCGGCCGAAGCTGCACGAACTCAAGCAGATAACCTACTTCCAAGACGTCGGCGTAAAGACACTGAGCTATTTGGACTCGCTATACCAATGGGATAACCTGCAAAAGTCCAAGTTCTACAAGGGACTGCCGCAAATCATTCCGACGCTGCCGCATCGCGTCAATCTACATTCAATTCTGCCATATTTGGTCAAGGAATTTGTCAACTCGCCAATGATCCCGTTTGTGCTGCCCAACGTCCTACTTATCGCGGAAATGAGCAGCCAACGGGAATATTGCGATCACATTCTGCCGCACCTAAAACCGATCTTCAAGCTGACAGATCCAATCCAGATTCTGCTGATCTTCATGCAAAAGATGGATCTGCTGCTTAAGCTAACACCGGCGGAAGAGGTGAAGCAGAGTGTACTGCCGCTGCTTTACCGCTCCTTGGAATGCGACATGCCCCAAATCCAGGACCTCTGCTTGGCGGTACTTCCCACATTCTCCACCCTGATCGACTACAACGCAATGAAAAACTCTGTACTGCCACGCATAAAGAAACTGTGCCTGCAGAGCAGCAATGTATCTGTGAAGGTTAACTGCTTAATATCTATCGGAAAACTCCTAGAGAACCTGGACAAGTGGCTGGTGCTGGATGAGATTTTGCCCTTCTTGCAGCAGATTCAGAGCCGCGAGCCCGCTATTATAATGGGAATTATTGGTAGGTGTTTGAAATCAATAACGACTTTTAAAAAATAAGAAAGTATTTTTTTTTCTATTTCAGGCATTTACAAAATTGCAATGACCAATACCAAATTGGGCATAACCAAGGACGTGATGGCACACAAATGCATTCCTTACCTAGTTCCCTTAAGTGTGGAGAACGGCCTTACAATAGCTCAATTCAACACGATAATAGCCCTGATCAAAGAGATGCTGGGCCGGGTAGAGCAAGAGCAGCGGGAAAAACTGCAGCAACTCTCCACCATACAGAGAGACAATAAGTGAGATACACCAAATTTATATATAAATATAATGTTATATGCAATTCAAAATATCTTCTCCCCATACAGACCCAAAGACGCTTCCGAAATATTAGCCAATGAGCTCGAGAGCTCTACTCTTTCCCCAAATGGTGCCAGCAATGGTAACAAAATCAACGATGACATGTTCTCCGGCTTCACTGTTGGCCAGCCAAAAACAACAACCACCGCTCCTATTGCGCCCGTCAAGGCTAGGGAACAACTCAAGTAGGAACTAATCAAGACGGAACCGAAGAGAAGCAGCAACTCAAGAAACCCTTTTGTTATTCCAGAATATCGCACAATACTATATCGGCGGCGCCGTCACCCCGCCCAGACATTCTTTCCTCAATGATGCAGAGCAACCTTACTGGCCTGGGGACAACTGCAGTAGCAGCCTCTCCTGTACCAGCTTCTACACAAATGCAGAGCAACAATGGTTGGCACAGTGCGAATCCGTTGGTAATGAACCATCAACTGACCTCGCCACAAGCCAGCAACAACAATACCTTTTCGCTGGACGACCTAGATCCCTTCGCCGGTGGAAGAGTTGCTGTTGGTGCCCCCAAGCCCAGCAACACAAACGGTGCCAATATGTATACGCTGCAGCAGCCCACAGTTAACTACATTTATCCAACGGGCTATAGTCTGAACAGTATCCAGCAGCATCAGCAGCAACAACTGCTTGGAAAACCCAGCCAAGCTCCCACGCTACAGCCGCAGACCCAGCCCCTGTTGCCTACGGATAATCAGAACCTCAACGCACTTTCCCAGCAGGATATACTTAATTTCTTGAACTAGACACAGTCGTAGCCAATAACAATTGATAAAATACCATATTCCATATATTTAATATTCAAGGCAAACTATATTTACCATGTTGCTTCGATTTGTATGACTTGGAATTCTAGATGCTGAAATTAATCTATGGAAAATTTAAAGCAATTTCCTTCTAAAGACTTAAAAATTACCTTTTTTAATGCTTACCACTTATTGGCATTAAATATTAAGTCTTCTTACACCAAACTGCTTTAAAATCCATTTATTACTTTCTTCATCTGGATTTAAAGCCGTGCAAAAAGACTCAGTTTAATATATCAATATATATATAAATGTATCTGTGCAAGAATGTGAATGTCTAAATGTGTGCGTGTTTGTTAGAAATGTTTTAAATTATATTATGTAGATTTTAACACAAGTCCTATGGATTATAAATCGTTGCTACATTCCGCAACAGATATCAATTGTGAAACGAAACGAATGCATCTAGGTAAATAGAATATGTATTATTGTTAGCTAGACAAAGGCGCCAACCAACTATGTTGTGTGCATTGTGCAATTGCTCTTTACTTGTATTTTACAAAATATATAAATTCAGTGAAACGGTTTTTAGTGCAATAAAATAATATTATTTATTAAAGTAATTTTTCACAAAACGAATTACTACAAAGACGAACAACGTGCCGACAAATTTCCTAGAGTTATATAGATATTTAATAAAATATATATAGGTATTTCATATTTGGTATTTAATTAATTTCCCAAAAATATCAAACATTTTTTTTTGAAGATTTCGAAATTCTTGGAATTTAAAGGACAAAATCCAAAAACCAAATTATTTTATTTTTAACTATTAGACTTCTCCTCGGTCATTAATTTAGGTTATTTAGACAATTTAGTTGGCGATACAAAATACATGTAAATTTATAAAACCAATTAAGTATCTTACAATTTTTTCAATCCAATCCAAGTAATACGACTTGGAGACTAACCCACTTAGTAAAAGATAAAATTTGTCGACAAATTGTTGTGATGTAAAATGTTTCAAAATCGAAAGGAAAGCTTCAAATTAGCCATTATTCGAAATAAAAAAAAGAAAGAAAAGGATCCTCGCGCAATAAAAAGGCAAAGGAAATAATTGTTTTTTTGGAAAAAATTCGTCAATAGTCAAGAATCATTATTTTAGGTCCAACAATTTCTCTTCTTTCAGTATTAACTGCGATTGATGCGATGAATTCAAAAACAGATCTACACCTAAATTATATTTTGTGGTATTTCAGTTAAATTAAATTTATTTTTGATTTATTTTCTAAGAAAAAATAGCGATCCATAATTTATAAAACTTGTGTAAATATAATCTTCAACTAGTTAGTTTCTGCGGACTTTATCATATCGTTTGGTAATTTAACTTCAGCAATGAATTGATTGAATGGCGATCCCAAATATAAGTATCCATTTTTTTCCACAACATGAGATATGCCCGAAGCTGATCTATCAAAACCATGCAGAGATCTTACAATATTTCCATTCCAGTCCAAACGAATCACAGTACTGCGATTAGGCGCGATGGTATTAGTCATCATCTCATTAAACTCGTGGAAAAGTCGTGCCGACATAGTGTTAGGATACACGTAGTTTAATAACCGGAAGGGAAACTGCATTAGACCCAACAAGCGAGCGAGGAAATATCTTAACTTCGGGTAGGGGGCCAGCGAAGCAAACAAATTGGGATTCTCACTATCTGACGCTACAGACAAAGGTACCCAAATTCCCTCCTGATCAGCAGTGAGATTATCCGGCCAGCCAGGTAGACCCTCTACAAAAACTTCGCTCTGACCAGCCCTAAATCCTTTGAGATAGTACTTGGTCAGACGCATGGCCGTCGTTTCGGCTACAATTATATAATCCTCACTGGAACTTAATGCCAAGCCGTTGGCAAAGGACATTTCATCCAGGAGTACCTCGTTTGTATTCATTTCACGATTATATCTAAAAAGTCTAAAAAAAAAACAGATACAAATTAATTTTTTTATATGGTATATTTATACCCTTGCAGAGGGACATTTCCGACCCTATAAAGTATATATATTCTTGATCAGCATCACCAGGAGAGTCGATCTAGCCATGTCCGTCTGTCCGTCCGTCTGTCCGTCCGTCTGTCCGTCCGTCTGTCCGTCCGTCTGTCCGTCTGTCCGTCCGTTTCTACGCAAACTAGTCCCTCAGTTTTAAAGCTATCTGCTTGAAACTTTCCCAAAAGTTGTCTTTCTATTGCAGGTAGTATATAAGTCGGAACGAGCCGGATCGGGCGACTATATCATATAGCTCCCATATAACTGAACGATCGGAAAAGCCATAACTTTGGTATTTTTAAAGATAAGAAGTTGGGATTTTCTATGGGTTTTATTTTTGGCCAATCAATCCGACATACCAAATTTCATAAGGATCGGCCGACTATATCTTATAGCTGCCATATAACTGATTGATCGGAAGTGCCATAACTTTGGTGTTTGTAAAGTTAAGAAGTTGGGATTTTCTATGGGTTTTATTTTTGGCCAATCAATCCGACATACCAAATTTCATAAGGATCGGCCGACTATATCTTATAGCTGCCATATAACTGAACGATTGGAAATGCCATAACTTTGGTGTTTTTAAAGTTATGAAGTTGGGATTTTTTATGAGTATTAAGAATGCATCATATGAATAATTTTGGAGAATATAATAACAGAGTATTCTGCAAGGGTATATCAACTTCGGCTCCGCCCGAAGTTAGCTTTCCTTTCTTGTTTTCATTAAATTAAACTCACCGACCCGACGGATTAGCGAACGGAGCCAAAAGGAAGTCATCCGATAACGAATCAGTCCAATAAATGTCACCCTGCTTGCTAACTGCCAATGAATTGAACAGCTTAGCCCGTCGGTTTACGCTTTTGCCAGGAAGGATTTGTTCCGTAAAAACCAACATGGTCTTCTCCTTGGTATCCAAATTAACTTGCCATATTCCATAGTACGAATCGGCTATAATTAGATTGTTCCCTTGTGTGTCAAGGGCCAAGCCCACAGGATAACCACATAGCGAATCATCAAAGATGTAGTCTATAAAAAAAGTATCATCAATATAATTGAAAACGGGTTCCGCACTCCTTTTTTATACCACAAGGTTGACCTAAGGTGGTGCTGGGGTGTAATCCGGGAATCAAGAATAAGGCTCCCAACAAAATAAACAGAAAAAGGATAGTTTTACACAATGTGCTTAGGAAACCCATAGCTAAATGCACAAGTGATTGTTATTAACTGAGGCCTATATGTATATAAAGCGACTACAACGAGGTGACAATGTTTAAGAGTCAAGATAATTCCCCGAATAAGTTTTGATTGGTGCGATAATTAATTCTTAGGAACTCTACAAGCTAATTTAATTTTAATGGTCTTTTTATACCCTTGCAGAGGGTATTATAATTTCAGTCAAAAGTTTGCAACGCAGTGAAGGAGACATTTCCGACCCTATAAAGTATATACAGTTTGTCAATAAAGTGTTTTGACAATAAGAAAAAATTACATATTTCAAGTTTTTATACGATAAAAAGTAAGTTTGCAGTGTTTTTTTATTTTTTTACAATTTTATTATGATTATGTTGGTATCTTAGAGAAAATTAATGAACAAAAAAACTAATTTCTTTAGTTAACTTTCTTAAAAATAAATAAAAACAAATAACATTCAGTTTTCATACTGTCAGGAAAGTGTTTTGACAAAAATGTAAAGTGTTCTTATTCTCTAAAGAGTAGCATGTTAATATTTTTTATGGTCACCTTTGGCAGCGCAAACGTCCTCCAATCGCGATTTCATCGAATATATGAGTTTTTCCATGTCCAATTTCTCCGGATGGCAGTTTTTCTCCACTATGGCAGTTTTGAGATCATTTTTGTTTTTGGGGCTTCGTTTTGCCACTTTCTTTTTTAAATATGCCCAATATTTTCGATTGGGTTTAAGTCTGGACTCTGGCTGGTGTGTCCAGCACTTTTCCGCAATTGTATAGTTACCACATAATCACCGTATTCGCCTTATGCTTAGGGTCATTATCTTGATAAATTTGAATTTTGGTTGGTTTCCATAAAAAAATACAAATTTCTTTGCACTGCACCAAAGATTTGTCGTAAAAATGTCCAAATATTGCTTAACATCCATTATATTTTCGATGAAAGCCATCCCTTTGCTCGAAATGCAGCCCCACACCATAATGGACAGTTTTCCAAACTTAACTGTCGGAATATTATTTTTAGTCTGTAAGGGTGTTAAAGGCTTTCGCCACACTCGGGATATTCCTTCATTGTAGTATTACATCATATTCGTTTCGTCACAGAATAAGACATTATTCCAAAAATCCATTGGCTTCTCTTTGTGCATTTTGGCAAACAAAAGTATCTTTTCGATGTTAACTTTCGAGAGCAACGGCTTCTTATGGGCTACGCGGGATGTATAATCGTTCCGTTTAAGTAGTTTTCGGACGGTTTCGAGGGAAACATCGACATTAATAGTCTCCTTGTGATCGAATTCAATAGATCTAAGAGAAACTTGATGGTTTTTGGCCACCTGCCTTAATAATTTTCGCTCATCTCCGTCCGAAATTCAAATTTATCAAGATAATGACCCTAAGCATAAGGCGAATACGGTGATTATGTGGTAACTATACAATTGCGGAAAAGTGCTGGACACACCAGCCAGAGTCCAGACTTAAACCCAATCGAAAATATTGGGCATATTTAAAAAGAAAGTGGCAAAACGAAGCCCCAAAAACAAAAATGATCTCAAAACTGCCATAGTGGAGAAAAACTGCCATCCGGAGAAATTGGACATGGAAAAACTCATATATTCGATGAAATCGCGATTGGAGGACGTTTGCGCTGCCAAAGGTGACCATAAAAAATATTAACATGCTACTCTTTAGAGAATAAGAACACTTTACATTTTTGTCAAAACACTTTCTTGACAGTATGAAAACTGAATGTTATTTGTTTTTATTTATTTTTAAGAAAGTTAACTAAAGAAATTAGTTTTTTTGTTCATTAATTTTCTCTAAGATACCAACATAATCATAATAAAATTGTAAAAAAATAAAAAAACACTGCAAACTTACTTTTTATCGTATAAAAACTTGAAATATGTCATTTTTTCCCATTGTCAAAACACTTTATTGACATACTGTATATTCTTGATCAGCATCACCAGGAGAGTCGATCTAGCCATGTCCGTCTGTCCGTCTGTCCGTCCGTTTCTACGCAAACTAGTCCCTCACTTTTAAAGCTATCTGCTCGAAACTTTCCCAAAAGTTGTCTTTCTATTGCAGGTAGTATATAAGTCGGAACGAGCCGGATCGGGCGACTATATCATATAGCTGCCATATAACTGAACGATCGGAAAAGCCATAACTTTGGTGTTTTTAAAGATAAGAAGTTGGGATTTTCTATGGGTTTTATTTTTGGCCAATCAATCCGACATACCGAATTTCATAAGGATCGGCCGACTATATCTTATAGCTGCCATATAACTGATTGATCGGAAGTGCCATAACTTTGGTGTTTGTAAAGTTAAAAAAGTTGGGATTTTCTATGGGTTTTATTTTTGGCCAATCAATCCGACATACCAAATTTCATAAGGATCGGCCGACTATATCTTATAGCTGCCATATAACTGAACGATTGGAAATGCCATAACTTGGGTGTTTTTAAAGTTAGGAAGTTGGGATTTTTTATGAGTATTAAGAATTCATCATATGAATAATTTTGGAGAATATAATTTACAGAGTATTCTGCAAGGGTATATCAACTTCGGCTCCGCCCGAAGTTAGCTTTCCTTTCTTGTTAAGTTTGAAGTATAAAATATAAAAACTTAAAACGTTAAGCATTCCTTAAAACAACTTTATAATTTTTATTTATGTTTAAATGGAAATATGCCAGCTAGTACCAAAAAAAACAAATAAGATTTTATAGTTTAATCCATTTTTTATTGGCAGATGCAGAGCGTGCTTAATATGATTATTACCTTTGGCGATATCCGTTTAATCTGAGACATTCTAATTGTACTTCAATTTCAGCTTCGACTCCTCCCATCTTTTTCATCTTCTTAGCCTAGTGAGTGAGATATCACGATCGATTCGGAACGCATTGTCTAAGGCGGCTGCTAATCGGTTGCTAAGCTAAGTGCACCCAAGTCTAAAACAATTCGAATTACCGACTAACAAAACCCGCAGTTGGGCTTCGAAAACGATTGGCCTACAAGCTAAATATAACAAATACTGGCACTCATGTCTCCACCAGGATGTGCGTAAATAGGCTGTGCATTCGTCGCTCTACCTCCTTGTAGACCAGCGAGTTGAGTCCATCCGAGTGCTGGCGCAGAGTCGCCGACCGCAGGAGCGCCACCCGGTTGGCGTTGGGCCGTTCCGGCTTGTGCTTCAGCATGGTGTACTCACTGAACTCCATCGCAAATCGACAGATATCAATGTTCAGGGCCTGCAGGCGCTCGTAGAGATCATCGTCCTCCCCGCCCCAGCCATGGTATAAGTTTGACATTCCATTGATTTGCTGAAACTGGGCTGTGTTAATGGCCACCACGCCGCCAAAGAGACCTCGATAGGGCAGCCGGAATCTCCAGTGATCCAGTGCGGAGCACATGTGCCGCGGCCGATCCGTACATGCGTATATCTGACCCGAATTAAGGGGCAGCAGATCCACGTCGTGGAGGATCAGGCAAGGGAATCCATACTCCGCAGCCACCTGGGCGCCAATGTTGAAGAGCATCGCCCTGTTGAAGGGTTTGTGGTCGAACTGCTCGACAAGGAAAATCCGATAGTGGATCAGCTGCTGCGGCAGGTAATTGTGCATGTATGTGAGGAAGGCATGGAGCTGCTCCTCACGCTGCCTGTATGGCACAATAATGGCAGTGCTGTAGCGAGCCTGACATCCCTCCGGCCGGAACTCACCACCGGGGCGCACGCCTCGCTGCATTGCCTCATGGTAGTGGGCCAGGTTGTAGACGAACCTGTTCTCCGAAATAATCTCCGTGTAAGTGCACTCGAACACCTCCTGCAAGGATACGTTCCGGGTAACTTGAGGCAAAAGAGCCTCCTCGATCTTCGCTCCTTCAATGTAATCATAATGGGATGCGAACCGGAAGGGTAGACACAGGTAAACAATAAGCGTAATCAGGCCGATGGAGAGGAGCAGATCATAGATGTGGAAGCTCCGAAGCCAAAGCCGCACAGACATCGTTGGCAGGAACTGGAGGCTCAGTAGGATCGGATAAAATTCCGCATCCTAACTCCGGATGCAATCGCGATTCGCGGGCGGTTCGCAAATAACAGCTGACGACCAGGGACGCAATTCGCGTTCAAACACTTCTACAGTTGTAACTCAATAAACTTATCCAGTTTTAAATAACTTGGGGTGCTTTGTAACTTTTTTTAATAATTTTAAGACGGTCTTTTTAAAAATTTAAAGAATGTTGTGAATACAAATCTTAAAAAATTTCACAATTAAATATATTTGATCTTTAATTTGGGATGATTAGTCCATAATTTTACAATGTTATGTTTGCGTTTAAAAAACTTCTTATACAAAATTGTTTACTTTACCAAGCGTGCACTGTATTTGTAAATAAATTGAGTATGCCATATAATTTTGGGGACGTTTAACTGCGCCTTTCTTAATTAAACAAAAAGCAGATAAGAGTTTTTATGTAAGTGATAAGCCTTTCCAATAACTAATTCTGAGTCATGGATAAGCAAATGAGAAGGCGAAAAATCCACATAATAACAAACGCCGCTATGATTTTTTGCTTTAATTAGTTTTTGAAAAAGACATCCAAGTTATTTAGTTACCTCTTATAGGTTTTGTAAATGTCAAAATTTAAATATATCATTTGAAATATGTACATACATAAATAAAAATGCAAATTATTTTGGCAATTCAAACCAACTTTACTGTTATAATAAATATTAAGCGAAGAATTATTGTTTTCATTTTTCGGTTTTTTATTTGATGTTTACTGTATAAACAAAGCAATGAGCTCGACAAAGTCTGGCAACGCCACGCAACTTTGTTTTGCAGCCCTAGGCCGGCGGAGAACTACGAGTGTTTTACCATTTCTCGTCTTTAACCAATGTGCCGGCGGTTTAATTATCCAAAATGACGTCCATTATCAAGCTGCACACTATATCCGGAGCGATGGACGAGTCCCCGCCTTGCTACATCCTCCAGATCGACGATGTGCGAATTTTACTCGACTGCGGATGGGACGAAAAATTCGACGCCAACTTCATCAAGGAGCTAAAAAGGTAACTGAGTTGAAATTGACGCAAACATTGTTGCATTATATATTCTCTCAGGCAGGTGCACACCCTAGATGCAGTGCTGCTGTCCCATCCGGATGCGTATCACCTGGGGGCACTTCCTTATTTGGTGGGAAAGCTGGGACTAAATTGCCCGATTTACGCTACTATTCCAGTGTTTAAAATGGGCCAGATGTTCATGTACGATCTGTACATGTCGCACTTCAACATGGGTGACTTTGATCTCTTTTCGCTGGACGACGTGGACACGGCCTTCGAGAAGATCACCCAGCTGAAATACAACCAAACAGTTTCGCTGAAGGGCAAGGGCTATGGGATATCTATTACGCCTTTGAATGCTGGACATATGATCGGCGGCACGATCTGGAAGATCGTCAAGGTGGGCGAGGAGGATATTGTCTATGCCACCGACTTTAACCACAAGAAGGAGCGTCACTTGAGCGGCTGTGAGTTGGACAGGCTGCAAAGACCTTCGCTGCTTATCACCGATGCCTACAATGCACAGTACCAGCAGGCCAGGAGAAGGGCACGTGATGAAAAGCTGATGACAAACATCCTGCAGACAGTGCGCAACAATGGTAATGTCCTAATAGCCGTGGATACCGCTGGACGAGTTCTGGAGCTGGCCCACATGTTGGATCAGCTGTGGAAGAATAAGGAATCGGGATTAATGGCCTACTCGCTGGCCCTTCTTAATAACGTGAGCTACAACGTTATTGAGTTTGCCAAATCGCAGATCGAGTGGATGAGCGATAAACTCACAAAAGCCTTCGAGGGAGCTCGCAACAATCCCTTCCAGTTTAAGCACATCCAGCTCTGCCACTCGCTGGCGGACGTCTATAAGTTGCCTGCCGGTCCAAAAGTGGTGCTGGCCAGTACTCCCGATTTGGAGAGCGGATTCACGAGGGACCTCTTTGTTCAGTGGGCCAGCAATGCCAACAACAGCATTATCTTGACCACACGCACCTCCCCAGGCACTTTGGCCATGGAACTGGTGGAAAACTGCACGCCGGGAAAGCAAATCGAGTTGGACGTCAGGCGAAGAGTTGAACTAGAAGGCGCCGAGCTCGAGGAATACATTCGCACACAAGGAGAGAAGCTTAATCCTCTTATTGTCAAACCCGATGTAGAGGAAGAGAGCAGCTCCGAGTCCGAGGATGACATTGAAATGAGCGTCATCACGGGAAAACATGACATTGTGGTCCGCCCGGAGGGTCGCCATCATTCCGGCTTCTTTAAATCAAACAAGCGCCACCACGTGATGTTCCCGTACCACGAGGAAAAAATCAAATATGATGAGTACGGCGAGATCATCAATTTGGACGACTATCGCATTGCTGATACGGGGGGCTACGATTTTGTTCCCATGGAAGAACAGAACAAGGAGAACGTAAAGAAGGAAGAACCGGGCGTGGGAGCAGATCAACAGGCTAACGGAGGCATCGGGGACAACGATGTTCAGCTGCTGGAGAAGCCCACTAAGCTGATAAACCAGCGCAAAACCATTGAGGTAAATGCCCAGATTCAGAGGATCGATTTCGAAGGTCGTTCTGATGGCGAGTCCATGCTGAAGATTCTCTCGCAACTGCGACCGCGCCGGGTTATTGTCATTCACGGTACTGCGGAAGGCACCCAGGTGGTAGCCAAGCACTGTGAACAGAATGTAGGAGCCCGAGTATTTACGCCCCAGAAAGGCGAAATCATTGACGTGACGACCGAGATTCACATCTATCAGGTGCGCCTGACCGAAGGTCTCGTTTCTCAACTGCAGTTCCAAAAGGGCAAAGACGCTGAGGTGGCGTGGGTTGATGGTCGACTTGGCATGCGTGTTAAGGCCATTGAAGCACCCATGGACGTCACCGTAGAGCAGGATGCGGCTGTCCAGGAAGGCAAGACATTAACCTTGGAGACCCTGGCTGAGGACGAGATTCCCATTCACAACTCGGTTCTAATCAATGAGCTGAAGCTCTCAGACTTTAAACAGATTCTCATGCGCAACAACATTAACTCGGAGTTCTCCGGCGGCGTTCTCTGGTGCAGCAATGGAACACTGGCCTTGAGGCGTGTGGATGCCGGCAAGGTGGCAATGGAAGGTTGCTTGTCTGAGGAGTACTACAAGATCAGGGAGCTACTCTACGAGCAGTATGCCATCGTTTAATATTAAAGATGACGTTTCTTAAATCTACTCTTATTTTTACTTTCTGTAAGATTAGAAATAGTTTTTATTTAGTTGTTTTTATTTTATTGTCTACATAAATTGCAGCATGGGATCTTCTGCCCTTGGTCGCTTCTTTTTCCATTCCTCGATCTCGTCTTCTGTGGGCGCCTTTACATCATACATGCTGTTATATGCACGTTTCCGATCGTCCAGCTCCTCAGGAATTTCTTTTTCCTTCGTCTTCTCCTTTTCCTCTTTGTACTTGGATTTCTGTTTGCGCTGCTCCTTGGCCTTCTTTTTCTTCTCGCGCTTCTTAGACTTCTTCTTGGACTTTTTCTTCTCGGGTTTTACTTCCTCCTCCTCCGATGAGGAGGATTCCGAACTCGGGGCTGAGTCAACTTCGGAGGTGGGCCTTTCTGGAGGGACTTCTGGTACCTTAAATTGGATCTGAGCAGTGGGTTCAGCAGGAGCTGTTGTGCTGGAGGTGGTGTGATGCTGATCTGAGTAGCCCTCCGGCTCCTGCATGCCCACACAGTAGGAATTCTTGATAAATGACTTGCAGCACTTGTAGCCCCATCGACCGGCGTTCCAAAAACTGCCCCAAACGGTCGTGTGGTTGTTGATGTACACATCTTCCTCGTAGATACTACGCGCTTTTGGCTTCTCCACGCCCTTGATTACCTTACCGCTGCGAGAGTACTCTATATACTCCTCGGTTTGGGCCAGCAGCAATGATTTTGGCGGCACCTGCAGATGCTCTTCGCCACCGTATTTCTCCACAATGTGCGTTTTGGTCTGGAGTAATAAAGAAAAATTGTAATTATTACTTTGTACATTTCTGATCATATTTAAATACTTACACTCGACTTGAACTGTTCCTTCTTCTGCTCGTACTCTTTCTGGAGCAGCTCCAACTTAGTGGGTTCGGCCAGCAGATGAACATCAACTCCTTTGCCGTGAGCTTCCCAGGCAAACAACTGAGCAGTGGCCTGGGCTGTTGTGTCTCCAGAGAAGCGCACAAAGTTCTCTCCTGCAAACTCAGCTCTGCAAGAATCACAAGTTAAATAATGCTTTTACTTGAATATGTTCTCGTTACTCACTCTTCATCGGGCAATGCGGGATTGGGATTGTCACGCATGGAGCGGGTTTTTGGATCGTAGTATGCGGAGTTGGGGTCCAAGTTTCTCAGGTATTTGGCGGTATCCTCGCGGATACGCAAGTTGCGCACAGTGATGCGCTGTTTGGAATCTACCTTGGTACCAGGCATGTCCACCTCGTCCACGTATTTGTCCTCATTGCCTTCCTCATCGGAAATCTCCGCGTCGGGATCTGAAGAAGTTTAACAAAATAGTAATGGAGATAGAGCATGGAGAGAACATTTAGAAGGACATTATAATTACCATTCTTGAGCTTTTCGGCCTTGAGTTGGCGCTTGGCCTCTTCCACTTTCTCGTACTCCTCAATGATCTCCCTGTGATTGGCCGGATCGTAACTGCTCCAACGATCGCGTTTCTCATCATAGTTTACGGCCGCCTCATTGACCAGATGCTCGTCGTGGACAACAATGGACTCGGCATACTTGGCTTGGACTTTCCGCGGCCGCTCCAGGCAATCCTTGCGTTTGTGGGTGACCGCTCCACAGTTTTCGCAGGCTCCCTTTCGAAACTTCGTGATGATGCGCGTGGTGTTTAGTCCCTTGGGAGCTCTTTTGTCCAACTGTCCTTGCTCGTCCTCGTGCTGGGGACGCTGGTGCTTCAGCGTAGGTCCTGCCGATCCATAGTACCATGGGGCATTGGATATGTACTGCGGGATGTGGGGATTTATGTCGCGACCCTCTTCGTCGACGGCGGCTGGTGCTGTTCCCGCTTTCCGTGCCTCCTCCAGCTCCTTGGCCTTGCGCCAGTCCTCCCTAGACTTCTTTTTTGGCTCCTCCTCCGCATCCTGGTCGTGCTTGCTCTGGATGATCTGCGAGACGGGTGTGCGCATGGCCCCCGAACTCATTTTGCCAAATTTTATTTATTTACAAATTACCTAGTAAAATTTCTTCTTCTTCTTGCATTGCCAGTATTGGTAAACATAAAAGCCATTCCTTTACTTCAATGTGTTGGAAAATCACTGGTAAAAGTTTTAGTTATAATATGTTAAATTTAAGCCGAATTTAGCTTTATTATAATTTGCATGAAATTATAGAAACACATAAGTTATGTTTTTTACAATAAAACAAAAAAATATAACTATTGCGCTTAACGTAACAGTTGGACTAACATCTGTTAACAGCTACCACAATCAGTGAGCTGTTAACACCCCCACGATTTATATCGCCTATCTTAGCACATCCCTAACGTTTTTCCAATAAGATTTGGCGTGAACATTTTTATCAATATTAATACGCGAAACTAATTTAAAGCCAATAAAAAATAATCAGCAATGCAACGGAAAATGCTGGACACTGTGATTTTGTGAAACAATTCGAATTCGTCGAAGAACTAAGGAAATTCCTTGGGAAAACCAATCAATTTAAAACGCTGTGCAAACAGGGTGCGTGTAACTGTGTGCGTGCTTGTGTGTGTATAAGCGCATACATATGTCGCGTGTGTGTGTGTGTGTTCTAGTGCAAAGGCATCCTTAATTTTTTCGCACACATAGCTGAACACTTTTTTCTCTAATATACCAGCTTCTGCGCGCCTCGCCTCAACATTTTTTCTCTATATACCAACAATAGAGAGAGTCAGAAAATCAGAGAGAGGTTGGAGAAGAAAGAGTGTGGTATATATAAAAAAACATAAACAAGACTTTTTTAAATTTTCTTGTTTACTTACATTCGTTTTTAAGGAAAGAAGACAGAAAAATTGAGACATTTAATTAAAATTGTAAACGCTTAATGAAAACTATTAACTAAAACACCCAAAAGCCCAATGAGAACATTTAAAAAGATTAACTCTTAAACTTCAAAAAATTTGCGCCATTTCGCCTGTTTACCAACACTGCTATCTCTTACTATACTCTGCAGTGTCAAACTGACAGCTGAGCGGTACGGCAACTCTGCCAGCTGGAAGGCCTTCGTTTTCACCAATTAGAAAATTACAGATTTTCCAATTGGACAAGTTAGCAAACTGTTTAGTTAATTGAACGCACTTATTGGCGTTTCGTCAGGTGCTTCCAATTGGAGTGGGCGTGAGACGCGCGAGTATTGGTGGGTGGTTGAGGTGTGAGCGAGAGAAAGCAAAAGAATTTCTTGTTATTCTTTCTTTGTTGTTTTATCTGTGGAAAAAAGCTGACTGCGAGTGTACTAGTGTGTGCGCGTGTGTGTATATATGTGCCATACATGCACACAAAGAATTTGCATAAAAAGTGAGCAAGTAAAAGCATTATACATATGTAATTAAAGCTGACACTGAAAATACTTAAGATACGGAAAAAGAGGGACCACTACTTGTACCCACAAAATTTGCCAATCAGTAAAATGCTTTGTATCCCAATTAGTGCGAAAATGTGATTGTGTATTTGGGGCAGTGTACAACTATCTGTGGAATTGAATTGCGAAATGAACAAAGTTGCACTCCTTGAAACGATTTGATTTATATGCCAGAAATATTACCATAGCAGATGATGGTCGTGTACTATTTTCGATTTTCTGTTTCACGGACTGTTGTTTCTTGAGCGATTGCCTAATGTACACACACAAATGTACAGAAGCACAGTGGAGGACAAAATAGTAGTGGTGATAAAGTTAATTAAAATTTTTAGACAGTAAATATAATAAAAAGGGAAATTATACCTTTTCAATTTGTATACAACTCAGTTTTTACTAAAATTAAAATCGTTAATTTTATAAAATGGAAATGAAAAAAATATAGTTCCAAAATTCAAATAAAATATTTCCTTGCATTGGTTTAGTTATACAAAAAATATATTAAAATTAAATAACGTGCATACGAAGAGTAAAAAATAAGATTTTTAGAGTTCTATCAGAGCTTAAAACCGCCACTACTATTCTGACCGCTGCTGTGGGTGTATGTATGTGCATAAATTCCATCGATACGGGGCACAGGCGACCTTGGGAGTGAATCGAGTGTACCGCATACGCCATTCATGAGTGTCAATGACCTACACTAACATTGGCCCACAGCGAAAGTTGCGAGCGCCACTCGAGCGTTTCATTACCCGATTTCGAATTCACAAACCTATTCCTGTATATTTGATCACAGACCAGGATCACCAGCCAGCCGCCCAACAGCACAACCACAGCCGAGTGGTCCACCGCTGCTCCCCACAGAAACACACGGACATCGCACGGAGGACCGAGAAGCGGCAGGATCAGGATCAGGGTCTAAGCGGCAGTAGGATCAGGTGCAGGTGGATAAGACAGGACCCAGTTTTACGACCATGTTCACGGGCAAGCTGCAAATCAAGGTGTGCGAGGCGAGCGGCCTGCGACCCACAGACTTCCAAAAGCGCCACAATCTCACCTTCGGCAAGCTCACCGACGAGCAGCTCATCGATCCCTATGTCTCCATAGACGTCGATGAGAGCCACTTTGGTAAGTGTCCTATCGTATAAGATGGTGCAATTTTATGTAGATAAAACACTAACTACTTGGTTGACAAAAACTGTTGCATACTTAAATGGGTTTTTAAGGTTCTGTTAATTATCCTTAATGGCAACCTATTGGAAACTAACCCGATATGCAATTGTTGATATTGATTATTTAATTTTATTTCTTCATCATCAAAGCGATATATGTACAATGTTTAATTAAATTTAAAAATACATTTAGTTTATAAGTAAACCAAGTGCACTAAATTAAAATATTACATGTCATCATCGCCGTACATTTCCCCACTTTCAGATCGAGCCACCACACGGCCAAAGACATTCGATCCTGTTTGGAACGAACAGTTTGTCCACGATGTGACCAATGTGAGCAACATCAACTTGACCGTCTTTCATGATGCTGCTCTGCCGCCAGATGACTTTGTGGCCAACTGCATCATCTCCTTTGAGGACCTCATGCAGAGCGAGACGGCTGTGCAGGATTTATGGGTATGTTTGGAGCCAATAATTTGGTAAAGCTTAAATGCCTTACTATACTGCTAACCTTATATATCATTACAGGTCAATTTGGAGCCGCAGGGCAAGATTCACGTCATAATTGAGCTGAAAAATCGCACTGGTGCGTATAAATATAATTGTTTAATGGAAACATTACTGATTTGGGTATATTTATATTTGTATTAGATAAAGCCAAAGCCGAGGCGGTGGTGGAGCACACTGTGGCCGTCAACAAGGAGTTCAAAGAGCGCGCTGGCTTCAACCGTCGTCGCGGTGCCATGCGTCGTCGTGTCCACCAAGTAAGTTTCTGTTTCCTCACTTTGAGGATCCAATTTTATGAAGTCGAGAAAATTTTGAATTTCTTTTTAATCTCAAGTTTTATTTGGTACAAGCATAAAAAATAATTTTAAAAAAGTTGAAGTTCTAATTTTTTTCAAAATAATACTGAGAATACTTTAAAGATACATATGATCACTGTAATACCATTTTTTAAATAATTAAATCTTATTCTTAATCATAAAGGTTATTAAAGTAAAAACCGCGATCAGAGAGTGTCTCTGAAATATTAAAGTAAAACAATGGATATAAAATTAAAACGTTTTGTCACAATTTACCAGAGAATTTTCTTGATTTCAAAAGGAAAAGTCAGTAAACCTATTGATTTCACTATGTTCCCGTTTTTCCATACCAGGTGAATGGGCACAAGTTCATGGCAACGTTTTTGCGTCAACCCACCTTCTGTTCGCATTGCCGCGAGTTTATCTGGTAAGTGGAGCCCAGCACACATAATCGTACAACTCTCGTAACGTACTCACAGCCGGTCTGAAAAACATCTCCGTACATCCCTAAGTTGTATCTGCAGTGATTAATCTGAACATGCATTTAGTTTCGGGACTTGATTTACACACCTCACACCATCTGAACTATTTTTTGATTTGATTTGATTCGACTTGGGTTGATCTATTTACCTCTATGTTCTTAATGTATCCTCTATCCCTCATCACTCATCATCGCTCTACTGGCTCATCTCTTTGGCTCTTTTTTGGGTGGCTCACTATTATGCAGTTTTTATTTCCTTAGTTCTCTATATATCCATCGGCATTAACCTGGTTTCTCCAATGGGCTATTAGCATTTGCTGCTGGCTTGGGTCGCGGGGTTATCACGAATCACGGGTTCACGATCATATCATGCTTGATTTCTTATGGGGCTTCCATCGGCGGTTATCATGCATTCAACTACTAAATAAAAAAATAAATACACTCGCACACACAAACAAACACACCAATCATTCAGTTACCAAAATATATATACATACAATAGCCATGGAATTTCTTGCCTTTTTGCAGGGGAATTGGTAAACAAGGCTATCAATGTCAAGGTATGTGTTTTGCTTCAGACTAAACGGAAAACCAGAGCAGCTCAGCTCTGGCGCTTCGGAGCTCCAGGAAGAGCCCCCGACAAGCTATATCCAATCCATATCACTTTGCATTTGCTTGTTACGTTCGTTATACGTTGTTCGTTATTCGTTGTTAGCTGTTGTCGTTGTTGATGTTGTTGCCATTGGGTTATTTTTACTATACTCTGAAATACCGAAACGGAATCGATTGCTCCATATATGTCCAGTCTTCAGCATTGTCCAATGCATCGATCACCTAGCTTGAGTCATGATTGCCTCGGAGCTGCCAAGTATCCTGGCACAGGTCCTGTCCTTGCCGCACCATTAATCTATCTGGTTGAGTCCTATCATCGTCCCCATCCCATTGCATTTGAAATTCACGTATGAAGAGGAATGCAAGTCTTGTACTACTAATTAACTCAAAATAAAATCGGAATTGCCAGAAGTTCTTTAGTCTATTATATATTAAAATTAGAATGGAGCTACATTAGACCCAGATTTCAGTTCGTCCGTCATTTATCTGATATTTTTTCTTAACTTTATATTGTCTTGCATGGTAAAGCATTTTAAACTTTGGGTCTGAGATCTTAAGCCAAAATGATAGAAAAACGGTCGAACTACGCAAATTTCAGTGATATGGGAACCTTAACAATGTCACTAAACTTAAAAAGGGAGATCTTGATAATTGGGAACATCATTTAAAAACAATATCATAAAAGAGTTTTCCTGCATGATAAATAATTGTGTCTGTTCTTAGAATAGGTATTTTTCAAATTAAAGAGCACTTCCAAACGCGAACGAATAAAAAAGTTATGGACTTGTTAAAAAAATGTCCCTTTAAAATTTCAACTTAGGGTTATTGCATACATTTAAAGCTGAAATGAGACTTCGTTTCTTTTACCATTATTCATTTTTGTCATAGATAAACTGCTTTTACGGCTTCTTCCGTCATTTCTCTCTTTTCTAAGTAGTTTTGGTTCCAATATCTGGCACGAAGCATTTAAATGTTGTGATTAAAAGCGAAACACTAATTAGAGCACAGTCACAGATTAAGCACAACTTAACTCCACTGACCAACATGTGAATAATCACACTGCACAACAAGAAACAGTCGACGGTTTATCAACTAATTTCTGTCCATCCAATCGTGGTATTTACTTACCTTTAATTTCAATTGAATGCCACGAATGAGGACTTTGTGTCTAACCCTGAATGTTTCAACGAGCTTGATTTAAACGATATTTTGTAAATATACACATTCGTATGTCTAGAATTTGAGCTCAGAAAAAAATCGCCCATCATAAATGTAAACTTAGTAACTATCTTAGATGGTTTAATGTAGTCAGTTACTTGAAGCAATTAAAACACAGAAGCTGGCTAAATTTGATGATGTTATTTATAGATATTTTTTATAGTTAATTGAAAAGGTTTTTAGGCTGCTATCTTTGTTAATTATTTTGAATTAATTTCTTGAAAAATCGTCATGACAATATTCGTTAATTTTTATCCAGTGAAATATAAGTCAAAAACTTAAATTAGTAATGAATGGCTAATAATAATGAAGTGTTTAAAAATAGGTATTTAATTCTTTTAAAATCCGATTAAATTTGTATTCTTATAAGTATATATGTTTGTGTTTAACCTTACGTTTAGTTTTTCTATTAGCATAAGGGCGATTTTTCTTCTGAGCCCATAGATTTCATAGAGTTTTGGATCTTTTGCCCTGCACTCTGCCATCGAAGAATTCGTAAAGCGTCCAGTGCCCAGTTTGGATATTAATTATTTCGCCTTTGGTTTCTCTCCCCCGAACACTTCTAGTCTGCACGTTAGTTGTACATAAAAAGTGTCATCTGTCCGTGGTGTCCAAGTGTCCGGGCATGCGAGATGAGGTAAGTGCCGCTGCAATATCCCACCCAGATCCTGGGGATTTAACAGAGTCATTTTGTGTTCAAGCAGCAGACCAAGGTGGAGGTGGTGCCGGCGGGCCAGCGCTTCAATGTGAATGTGCCGCACCGCTTTGTGGTGCACAGCTACAAGCGGTTCACCTTCTGCGACCACTGCGGATCCCTGCTGTACGGGCTGATCAAGCAGGGACTGCAGTGCGAGACCTGCGGGATGAATGTGCACAAGCGGTGCCAGAAGAACGTGGCCAATACGTGCGGCATCAACACGAAGCAGATGGCCGAGATACTCAGTTCGCTGGGAATTTCGCCGGACAAGCAGCAGCCGCGTCGCTCCAAGTACTTGAACCAGCAGGGCGGCGAGGACAACTACGGGGCATCCTTGGGCGGCGACGGGGACGGTGCACCCGGCCAGTCCTTCCGCAGTGGCACCCTATCGGCGGACAGCCTGGCCACATCCACCACGACGCTGACCAGTGGCTACAACAGCAGCAGCTGCATGAGCCTGGCGGTGGCCACCGGGGAGACTCGGCCAGGGAAGTGCTCCTTGCTGGACTTCAATTTCATCAAGGTGCTGGGCAAGGGCTCGTTCGGCAAGGTGATGCTGGCCGAGAAGAAGGGCACCGACGAGATCTACGCCATCAAGGTGCTCAAGAAGGACGCGATCATCCAGGACGACGACGTCGACTGCACCATGACCGAGAAGCGCATCCTGGCGCTGGCCGCCAACCATCCCTTCCTGACTGCGTTACATTCCTGTTTCCAGACCCCGGACCGCCTGTTCTTCGTGATGGAGTACGTGAATGGCGGCGATCTGATGTTCCAGATTCAGAAGGCGCGTCGATTCGAGGCCTCACGGGCCGCCTTCTATGCGGCGGAGGTGACACTGGCGCTGCAGTTCCTCCACACCCACGGCGTTATCTACCGCGACCTGAAGCTGGACAACATCCTGCTCGACCAGGAGGGCCACTGCAAGCTGGCCGACTTCGGCATGTGCAAGGAGGGCATTATGAACGGCATGCTAACCACCACCTTCTGCGGCACGCCCGACTACATCGCCCCGGAGATCCTCAAGGAGCAGGAGTACGGCGCCTCCGTCGACTGGTGGGCGCTGGGCGTGCTCATGTACGAGATGATGGCCGGTCAGCCGCCGTTCGAGGCGGATAACGAGGACGAGCTCTTCGACTCCATCATGCACGACGACGTCCTCTATCCGGTTTGGCTTTCCCGCGAGGCCGTCTCCATACTAAAGGGTGAGCCTCTCCATCTTGACCTGTTTTTTTTACAAAGTAAAAGATCTTTTGTTTTCAACATATACCTAGTTTTTATAATCTTTGTCCGTTTTTTAATATTAATTTAATTTTACTTACTTTTTTATTTTAAAATATTATATTGAATGCCCCAGTGGCAAACAGTGAATCATACAGAAGTGGCACAGAATGTCTTCGTTTGAAGTTGTGTGTGTCATAGTGCCATTAGTAATCTTTAAAGTGATTTTCATTTGCAAACGCCACAACTATAACTTTTACCTTTCTCTTTTTGACCATAAAGTGCATAGAAATCAACCAAATTTAAAACAAAACAAGAATGGAAAGCTAACTTCGGGCGGAGCCGAAGTTGATATACCCTTGCAGAATACTCTGTAAATTATATTCCCCAAATTTATTCATATGATGCATTCTTAATACTCATAAAAAATCCCAACTTCCTAACTTTAAAAACACCAAAGTTATGGCATTTCCAATCGTTCAGTTATATGGCAGCTATAGGATATAGTCGGCCGATCCTTATGAAGTTTGGTAGGTCGGATTGATTGGCCAAAAATAAAACCCATAGAAAATACCAACTTCCTAACTTTATAAACACCAAAGTTGTGGCATTTCCGATCGTTCAGTTATATGGCAGCTATAGGATATAGTCGGCCGATCCTTATAAAATTTGGTACGTCAAATTGATTGGCCAAATGTAAAACCCATAGAAAATCCCAACTTTCTAACTTTAAAAACACCAAAGTTATGGCATTTCCGATCGTTCAGTTATATGGCAGCTATAGGATATAGTCGTCCGATCCCGGCCGTTCCGACTTATATACTGCGTGCAAAGGAAAGAAGGGTGTGTGCAAAGTTTCAATTCGATATCTTTAAAACTGAGAGACTAGTTCGCGTAGAAACAGACAGACGGACAGACAGACGGACAGACGGACAGACGGACAGACGGACATGCTTATATCAACTCAGGAGGTGATCCTGATCAAGAATATATATACTTTATATGGTCGGAGATGTCTCCTTCACTGCGTTGCACACTTTTGACCAAAATTATAATACCCTCTGCAAGGGTATAAAAATGTAAAGATCCCAGTAGTTTTAAATGACAGTAACCTCTAAAAGTTAGCGTCTAAACTTTAACAACAGATTGGTTTTACTTCCTTTTCAATTAGAGCTTTAGGAAATCAAATTAAATTACGACAGTTTTCTGAAACTAAACAGCAGTTTAGACCATAGTTATACCCGTTACTCGTAGAGTAAAAGGGTATATTGTATTCGTGCAAAAGTATGTAACAGCTAGAAGGAAGCGTTTCCGACCCTATAAAGTATATATATTCTTGATCAGGGTCACTAGCCGAGTCGATATAGCCATGTCCGTCTGTCCGTCTGTCTGTCTGTCCGTCTGTACGTCCGTATGAACGCTGAGATCTCGGAAACTATAAAAGCAAAAAGATTGGCATTTTGCATGCAGATTCTAGGAGTTCCTACGAAGCTCAAGTTTGTTTCAAAAAGGGTGCCACGCCCCTTAAACGCCCACAATCGCTTATATACGATTTTAAAAATTTAAATATTTCGGAAAAGTAAAAATGCAGTTTTATTGTGTTTATCAATACCTATCGAAATGTAGAAATTTTTCAAATCGGACCATTCGTTAAAAAGTTATGCGTGATCAAAGTTTCTATCTCCATCTCCCTCGCACTCCCTTTACCTGAGTAACGGGTATCTGATAGTCGGGGCACCCGACTATAGCATTCTCTCTTGTTTTATAATAAAGCGAATAACCAAATAGAAAGGTTATTATACAAGAATAATTTTAATGTGGAAACATTGACCTAAAAAACTTCCTTCTTTAAATATAATCGCCATACAATTTCAACAGTGAAATATAACATGTCCTTTGGTTGATGCAGGTTTTCTAACCAAGAATCCGGAGCAACGACTGGGTTGCACTGGGGACGAGAACGAGATACGCAAGCATCCATTTTTCAACAAGCTGGACTGGAAGGAGCTGGAGAAGCGCAACATAAAGCCACCATTCCGACCGAAAATGGTAATTACTAAGCAATGCATTTGGTTAAAACTTTATTCAAATCACCTTGACACACAGAAAAATCCACGCGATGCCAACAACTTCGATGCGGAGTTTACCAAAGAGGATCCTGTACTCACACCGATTGGAAACGACGTTGTGCGCTGCATCAACCAGGACGAGTTCGCCGGATTCTCGTTTGTGAATCCCAAGTTCGGACCGGAACGCAAAGTCTACTAAGGCCCAACGATCGCAGTTCATGTTCAAAACCCAGATTGATTGGTCGCGATGCGATCTGGAGCCCCGATGAGATTGGGAATCCCGGTCGGCGAAGGTGGCCAACCAGATCGCCATCGATCCGAGCTGTCATCCAGCGTGTAGCGCATCCCCTAGCACAAGCAGTCTAATATTTTTATTTATAGTAACTCCCCATTGTTGTCTGTTTCCACCCGCAGTCGTGGTCCCCGTTTCGTTCCCGGTCCTGCGTGTAGATCACTCATCCACATCCAAGTACCAGTGCCAATTGTCGAAACTGCTAAGCTTTCAACTTGAATGAAAGGCGCACAAGGACGCGAATTCTTTAGCTCATGTCACCCAAACTTCCCTAAGCCCAAAACCCTTAACCGCTTCAAGCCCCACACCTGTTGGAATTTATTTATGTTGTTTGCCAAGCCCCAAAAAACAAAAAACAGAATACCCCAACCCCATCTAGTCAATGCCCAGTGGCTGAGTGCATTTTGTTATTAGTTATTTATTGATTGTTTGACGTGCCGAATCTCATGTTTCGCACTCACAGACCGACAGCATCCAAGCAGAGCTCTATTTATGGGAGGCGAGGCACTTGCTCCAAGCGAATCTCAAGGGAACTTCTAACACAATAGCCGCAATGTGCCGTCTGTACTACACACACAATACATATACCATTAATTTGGACACACAAATCTAATTTCAATTTGTTTTATGTATTCAAAATCTTGCACAACTTCCTTCTCAAGTATTAAAGCGATATTATTTTAAAATTACCTTATTGTTATACATAAATATTTATAGAAATGAAAAACAAAAACAAAATGAAGCCAAAAAACACCTAATACAAACGCATACAATTTACCAACAAAGAGAAAGTAAAGCTAACTAATCATAGAGATAAAGCTAAAACCCACAAAGAGAATGTCTATAAAATTCATATTAATTTATGCTAAACAAATTATGAATACAAACAACAAAACGTGTTTAGTCTGTAAGAGAAAAAGAGGAGAACAAACAAAGTATATATATATATATATATATATATATATCAATATATATATATGAACCATATAAATTGTGAAACTAAAGGCATATATAATACACACAAAAGAAAAACCCACAAACAAACACTTAGCGTAATGAGGAAAAACCGAACAAAAAATAAAATGGAAATTATGTGGCATAAGAAGATAGGAGACAAACCAATATTAATATTTATGTGTTGATTTTAAAGCCAAAGACTCAAAGCTAAGTTCTATTCGAAACTGCATTCAAATTTATGAATAATGCATGGAAATTTGATCGGTATCCTTTAAATGTTATTACCATTTTTATTTACTCCATAGCGAATTTTGTGCGGCTAAATTTGTTTCTGTTTCGATTTCAGTCTACCACGGCAACAGAAATTATGCTAAAAGAAATCATTAATGAATATATAATAATAATTATAAAGATGGAATAGCAAAGGAAGGATAACAGAAGATTTATTAACTATAAGCAGCGTTGTTAACTAAAAATCTTAAGGCAAAGGCAAGCATAAACACACATTTGTATGTAATAATAAACGCCCAGTGTCTAATAATATTTGTGAAATAGCAAGCCCAGCGTAAGCGCTAGTTACCCATTTACAATTTAAATGTTAACCCAAAGTATTTTCAAGAACGCATTTTACCAAAAAAAAATAAAAAAAAAAACAAGCAAAAGTAACAAAAAACACGAAGAATTGAAGGAGGAAGGAGTATAGGCAAAATGTTAAAAGCTATGAATAATTTTTTAAGCAATGCGCCTAAGGGCCGTTGCAAGGATAGAGGCGCGTTTTCAATTAAAACTAAATGAGGAAAAAGAAAATTAAGAATAAAACAAGCAAAGTAAAGCAAAACTCCAGCCAACAAGATGAACTCATATGAACATAGAACCTTAACCAGGGATCAGGAATAGGTCAAGGAAATAGCTTAAATTCGCTGGTTGTTGTTAAGCAGAGGACAGACAAAAGGGTAAATTTAATAGGAGAGAAACAGAAAAGGGAAAAGAACAAATCGCGTGACCGTAACCTGAGAACAAAACGTAAACTTATAGGAAAATGTGCAACCAAAAATGTTAGCTGTAAGCTCTCACCAAATATGCAAAGCTGAACGCTCCCCCCCAAAATGCCCGCTGTTGTCTCCATCTACTTACTAAAAACCCGAATCTTATAGTGAATAAATCATGGCTTGCCAAAAGGGGTCCTTGAACCAAACTCTGAATGTACTCACTCGATCAGCTTAGCTAACTTTTTCTGGAGCCGCGCAGCTCAAGCAACTCAAATACACACACCCACTTACATATGTGCAACTTTTTCATGTACCTTTCGCATCTTAGATACTTAAATGGATTATTAACGGAAGCCCCAAAACAAATTGTTAACTGATCTAAGGCAAAACTACACAAACTACTAAGAAAATATACTGAATTATTTATGGAACGGCGTACAAAACTAAAGCGCAACAAAGAGAGAGGAGGGTTAGAAATTGGCCTAATCATTGCAAGAGTAAAAATCTTAAACAGAAAGTATTCAGAAAAGCACACACAAAAAGCAAAAGAAAAACCAAACTAAAACTGAGAAAAAAAAACGGCATAAATAAAGTTTAAGTTATGTTTAAACAAGAGATAAATAACTGTAACGGTAAAGTCGAAAGTCAACAGTTGATATGTTGTAAAAAAGCTATTAAATAAAAGAAAAAAGCCCAAAAAAAAAAAAAGATTACCAAGGCAGGCAAGTGAGCGTAATTGAATGTTAAAGAAGCTACTAAATAGAGGTGTGAGCAGATGTGTGCAAAGATAACCAAAGAAAGCAAAATTGAAAACAAGAAAAATTGATTTATAACATTAAGTGAAAACTAATTAATAAATAAAGAGGTAACACCTATGAAAAATGTAACCGATTTTGTTTGAATCTGAAAATAACAGCCTTGACGTTTGCGAAGCGGGAAAATTAGGAAAAGCGGGTAAAGTGTCTGTAAAGGATTTTCACTGTATGGATATTACCTTACTAATTTTAAGGACACATATCCATAATAATTTACAAGATGTTCTCAGCAGTATTTTTATTTTCACGCAAATTAAAAATTACTTAAACTTATAAATTTGAATTAACAGAAGGGCCCCCTTTAGCGGTTAACAGCGTCAGTTAACAAGGAGTTATCGGTAGAGGGTTCATCTCTAGCGTCTGTTAAGTAACAGTGCACATGTTGCCATCCCGATAAGAAGAAGAAAAGTCAAAACAAATAAATATCTATTGCAATTTCTTAATTTTAAAGGCAAAAAACAAGTGCTAGTCAATATGCCGAAGGTCAAAACGGAAAAGAAGAGCCGCATACATACCGAGGTGCAGAAGCAGGGTAAGTTCCTGAACCGAAGCATTCATAATCTGCTAGTAAACAATAACTAAATGTATTGTTCATCGCGGGAAATTGGTGTGCAATTATATTATTTAAATATCTATGAAATTATATTACTCCTCCTTTTTTTCTGGCAGGTATCGTTTTCAACAAGGACTTTGGACAGCACATTCTCAAGAATCCCCTGGTGATAACCACCATGCTGGAGAAGGCTGCTCTGAGAGCCACCGATGTGGTGCTGGAAATCGGTCCCGGTACGGGAAACATGACCGTTCGCATGCTGGAGCGGGCCAAGAAGGTGATCGCCTGCGAGATAGACACCCGCTTGGCCGCCGAGCTGCAGAAGCGTGTCCAGGCCACTCCGCTGCAGCCGAAACTCCAGGTGCTCATCGGCGACTTTCTGAAGGCGGAGCTGCCCTTCTTTGACCTGTGCATCGCCAACGTGCCGTACCAAATCAGTTCGCCGCTGATCTTCAAGCTGCTGCTCCATCGCCCACTCTTCCGTTGCGCCGTGCTCATGTTCCAGCGCGAATTTGCCCAGCGATTGGTGGCCAAGCCGGGTGACAAACTCTACTGCCGCCTGAGCATCAATACCCAACTGTTGGCCCGCGTCGACATGCTTATGAAGGTGGGCAAGAACAACTTCAAGCCGCCGCCAAAGGTCGAGAGCAGTGTGGTACGGCTGGAGCCGAAGAACCCACCGCCACCTGTCAACTTCACCGAATGGGATGGCCTCACGCGGATCGCCTTTCTGCGCAAGAACAAGACGCTGGCGGCCACCTTTAAGGTCACCTCCGTGCTGGAGATGCTCGAGAAGAACTACAAGCTGTATCGTTCGCTCAGGAACGAGGTGAGTCAAGCGAATGCACCTCAGCCGATTTTCTATAGTTTGATTTATCCTTTTGTTGGACTTGGATAGTGGACACATGTATTATTACATTTATTTGGTCTTTTTAAAATATTAGTTGTTTCCAAAACTCCTTAATATGACTTTTGGTAAAAGATTATTTAGTCCTGCCTTTCTGGGGTCTATAATGTGATCCAAACCATATTTCGATGTAGCATTTCTGTAAAAGAAATAATAATTCAGTAACCTATTTTTTATCAAGAAAATGACATATTGATTTCCCTCAGCCCATCGAAGATGACTTTAACATGCAGGCGAAAGTCATTGGTATCTTGGAAGAACAGGATATGGCCACCAAACGTGCGAGAAGCATGGACATTGACGACTTTATGAAGCTTCTGCTGGCTTTTAATTCAGCTGGCATACACTTCAATTAGTTTTATTTATTCATTAGATCGTTAAACTTTGTACAATTTTACCAACATTAATATAAATGTTAAGCCAACGAACTTTATTAAACCTCAGTACCTTTTTTCTTAGCCAAACTGGTTCCATTCTAGTACAGTAGATATTAATTGGCAATCCCTTCTAAAATCTAATATCAATTAGAAGAAATCAATGCTAATAATATTTATTGAATCTTTTTGACGTTTTAAAATATTTAATTTACCAACGTCTTTAAAGAAACGATTTTGATTTTCTTTTTGGCTAATAAAATACGATTTTCCCTATTGATGAATACTGTATTTAGAATAGAATCAGCTGATCTGTGTTTAATGCCGGAGAGCGGTGTTTATAAAGTGCGCAATTGAAAACTAGCTGATTAACTTCGATTTGCTCAGTCGCCGGTTGAACGTGGTCCACTGCAGTTTGAAAACCAATCAATAACTTTGGCCATGCGATCGCTTAGAATGATTTTGCTGCTGATGTTTTTCCTGAGCACCGGCCTTGTCTACGGCCAAAACCCGGATCCAGCCGTCCAGCTCGGTAAAAGCGATAAGTGAAAACCAAATCATTTATTTACTATTTTAAAATCATATATATATATATTCGTTTTAGCTTGCACAAAATTCAAACAAATTGTTTTCGAGAAACGCGTGGCCATCAGCTTTTTTTTTACCGATGCACCGATTACCTATGAGACGGTTGATTCTTGTCATGGATCACGACCTCTGATTGTAGATGGCACACCGGCAGAACCCAAGGAATTCCCCCATGCAGCTCGTCTTGGCCACCGGAACGCTAACAACGAAACCAAGTGGTTTTGTGGTGGAACCTTGATAAGCAATCGCTTGGTGCTCACAGCAGCCCACTGCTTCTACTCTGTGCAGTAAGTATGAAGTTATAGGACCCAAATGGGCATATCTGCCATAAATAGTTACAGTTTTTGATTATTAAAATGTAATTTAATGGGTAAACAACCCATGCAAACCGTATTATAATTTCAGTCAAAAGTTTGCAACACAATCGAGGCTATATTGCCGACCCCTTAAAGCATATATTTCTTTGATTATAACCATGTCCGTCCGTTTCTACGGAAACTAGTACATTTATGTTTATTAATTTTATTTCGGAAAAATATTGTTTCAAATTTATTTCAATATATTCTAATTTTTTCACAGTGGAGAAGTAAATGTGGTGCGTTTGGGTGAGCTGGAGTTTGACACGGAAGAGGACGATGCTGAGCCGGAGGACTTCGGCGTGCTCAGCCTGAAGGCCCATCCTGGATACAAAAACCCTGCACTCTACAATGACATCGGAACGGTTAAACTTGATCGGGAAGTCAAATTCAACAGGTACAAGCATCCTGCCTGTTTGCCCTTCGACGACGGAGAGAAGCACGAGTCATTCATCGCCATCGGCTGGGGCCAGAAGAAGTTCGCCCAGAAGGAGTCCAAGAAGCTGCTGAAGGTTCAGCTACAAGGCTATGGTGACAGGTGTGTAAGCACCACCGATGCCAACGATGAACTGCCCAAGGGCTACGAACCTAGAAGCCAACTGTGCATAGGATCAAAAGACGACAAGGACACCTGCAATGGCGACTCTGGAGGTCCTGTCCTGGCCAACCACAAGGATCTTCCTTGCATGTATCATGTCATGGGCATCACGTCTGCCGGCATTGGTTGCTCCACACCAGATATTCCAAGTCCCTACACGAGGGTGCACTACTTCCTCGACTGGATTAAGGGGGAACTGGCCTATCAGTCTTAAAGTGAATATGTTTTGGCATTTCGCTTAGTGGTTTCCATTTAGTCCCCAATCTGGGTTCTCAGAAAGCCATAAATATGCGATTTGTTAAATAAAAATTGGGTTTCCACCAGGCTAATAAATTTGCATGCATTTGAGTTTGTTCTCCAAAACCTGTTTGAAATTAAAATCGAACTGAGCTTTTCAGGTTTGCATTTCCACTGAAATTGTTCACTTGCCGATGATTTCAAAGTCGTGACAAATTATTTATATTTTTTGTGAATAAAGTTGATTATTATTATTATTAAATATGAAACATATATTTTCTGGAAGACCCGCTAAGCCAAGAACGTTATAACCCCGGAACTTTTCGATACAATACTCTTGGCTGTCAAACTGGATTTGTTTTGTATTAAATTTCTGCTTGCGTAAACCGTGAGCAAGTATAAGTATACATATAATTTCTTATCATTAAAAACGCGTATTTTCCCAGTGCTTATTAGCTCACCTGAGGAGATTACACTTAAGCCAGTCTCAAAGAGAAGCCTATTGGCAGCTAATAATGCTTTTAGTTTCTCACTGATCGTAGAGGCAGTCACACGATGAGGAGTGCGTACCCTGGTATGCTTGCCGTGCTGGGAGCAGTCCTGGTGATCCTATCAGTCGATGGGGTAACGGCTCAAGACCCGGATATAGTAAAAAGTTGGTGGGTCATAATTTCTCAAGAGATCTTTTAATTAAACTTTTGCCTTCACAGCCTGTACGGATTATAAGAAGAAGGTTTGGGAGGAGACATCTGAGTTCAGCTTCCTGATGGAGGGTGCTCCGATTATCTACAAGACCCTGGACAAATGCAAGAGCTATGCACCCCTTATAATCGGAGGAAGTCCTGCCTTGCCCAAGGAGTTTCCCCACGCTGCTCGCCTAGGAAATCGAAACGATGATGATGGCGAGCTGTCATGGTTTTGTGGAGGAACACTTATCAGCACACATCATGTGCTAACCGCAGCGCACTGTCATTTCTCGCCCATGTACGTATTTTTATAATCACAAACAAAATCTAATTAGGCCACATACAGATTTTAAAAGCTTTTATTTTATATGTTATAAATCTTTTTTTAGAGGTTCAGTGAATATCGTGCGGCTTGGGGAACTGGAGTTTGACACCAGCAGCGACGATGCCGAACCTGAGGACTTTACGGTGAAGGACCACACTATTCACCCCGACTTTCACTACCCGGTCCTTTACAACGACATATCCGTGGTGCGTTTGGATAGAAAAGTGTCCTTCAACGAGTACAAGCATCCTGCGTGCCTTCCCTTCGCCGACGGTGGATCGGACTCCTCCTTTATCGCCATCGGCTGGGGTCAATTGGAGATCGTTCCTCGCACCGAGAACAAGAAGCTGCAGAAGGTGAAGCTCTTCAACTACCGCACTCGGTGCAGCACTACGACGGAAAGTAATGATGAGCTTCCCGAGGGCTATAACCGGACCACACAACTTTGTGTCGGATCTAGCCAGCACAAGGACACCTGCAACGGCGACTCCGGTGGACCGGTGCTGATCTATCATCATTCCTTCCCGTGCATGTACCATGTAATGGGTATCACATCCGTTAGCACGTCCTGCGACACCCCAGACCTGCCTGGCTTGTACACAAGGGTGCACTTCTACCTGGACTGGATTAAACAGGAGATTTCCAAGATTTAGTAAATCTGAACTACATAAGAAAAGTGGAAACTAAATTCCAAATCGAAACCATAGTCAATATCGTAGGTAAAGTTTTTAAAGAAATTTTTTAAATTTGCTTTACTTAAAAATGGACTTACATAATGCAAAATAAATATTCTATTCCTTTCAAGATTGTAACTGAACCAGACTAAATTTAAACGAATTGAATGTAATAAAGATGTAAGGAAGCTTACACCTGATATGATAATGAGATTGCTTCATTTACTTATACGTATGAAAATGAAAATACAATTTTAGATAATTAATCGAAGATTAAAATTTTTTGGAGAGCCTTAAAATGTTTTAAACTCAATTTTTTTATTCAACCGTTTTGTAGTTTTGCAATAATATAAGCCCACGTAAGTACCAGCGATCCTAATTGATAATTATTCCAAATTATTCTAAATTTAATTATTACACAGTAAAGTACAATTTTAATATCAATTGTTGTCTTTCGATTTGCATACCTATAGGTGAAAGAAAACAAATCGGGCTAATCGGTTGAAGAGCGGGGATTTCTATTAGCTTTTACCCCCTTGAACCTCACCTGCGCTTCCAATGGGGGTCCACAGCTGATCGATCAGTAACTAATTGGGAGCCAAACCCGTTCGGATCTCACAGTCGATTACCGATCGTCACCAGAAGATGTGGACGCCTCTGCAGTTTTCCCTGCTAATCATTCCGCTGGCATGTGTTTTTGGCCAGCATTCGGATATGGATATAGTCATGTGTAAGTACATTTTGATAAGAAAGCTACACCACTTATGTTTACATTTAGAAATATAAGAACGATTTTATTCTTAATACCAGGAGTTACATTTTTAATGGTTAGTGCTATCAAATAATATTTAAGAAAAGTGTTTTTCAACGGTTCTTCGTGATTTCGTAAGTTATAAAATACTAATAAGCTAAATCAATATCCCACAGCCTGCACGAGATATAAGAAGAGTGTTTTTGAGGAGACAATCTCCTACGGTTTCCTGCTCCCAGGTGCTCCGATCGAGAGCCGGGTCATCGACAATTGCAGGAGCTACACGCCCTTAATTGTAGGTGGTCATCCGGCCCAGCCTCGGGAATTTCCGCACACGGCACGCTTGGGACGTCGTCAAGATCTGTTCAGTCGTACCGACTGGTTTTGCGGTGGCGTTCTGATCAGCGAGCGGTTCGTCTTAACCGCTGCCCACTGTCTGGAATCGGAAAAGTAAGCACTGAAAATTACGGAAAGGGGGTTTTTGCGGTCTTAATATTGGGTTAAGCCGCCAATACATTTTAATTTTAAATAGTCGATCGATTTAATCTGTTGTTTATAGATTTAACTCAAAATTATATTTTTTTTAATTTTCTAAAACTAAAAACTTTTTTGGAACACAATTCCTACATATTTAAAATGTATTGTCGGCAAAAGAATTACAATTAAAGAATATTTGGTTTTTAGAGGAGAAGTAAATGTGGTGCGATTGGGCGAACTCGATTTTGATACGTACGAAGATGATGCGGCGCCCAGGGATTATATTGTTTCCGGATATGTAATCCATCCGGGCTATGAGGATCCCCAGTACTACCATGATATAGGACTAATCAAGCTGATGGAGGATGTTATCTTCGATCTCTATAAGCACCCCGCCTGTCTTCCGTTTCAGGATGAACGCTCCTCCGACTCCTTTATAGCCGTTGGCTGGGGAAGCACAGGACCTGCGCTAAAGCCCTCGGCCAAGCTGCTCAAAGTGAAGCTGGAGCAGTACAGAGATGGGGTACGCATTTTCACGGAAAATCAACATCAAAATTATGATATTTTAAATTCAAACTTCCATAGGTGTGCAAAAAACTGCTTACCCGGCAACTGGAAGAATTCCCGCGGGGATTCGATGCGAGCAACCAAATCTGTGTGGGTTCGGAGATGGCCCGGGACACCTGTAACGGCGACTCCGGCGGTCCTCTACTGATTTACCACCAAAAATATCCTTGCATGTACCATGTTGTAGCAATTACATCGGCAGGATTGTCCTGTGGTACTCCGGGAATTCCCGGAATATATACTCGCGTGTATCCTTATCTGAACTGGATAACCCGAACCATAGCCAAATTTTAAAAATGTATTAATAAATGACAGTCCAACTATAAAACCAACCCAATTATTACTCATTTTATGATAAAACTGTATATGTTTAGAGTAATCTTGTTTGGAAATGGATACAATTTAAATTAGAGTAAAATTTTTTTTAATTTTCATAGGTTCAAAATGAATATGATTTTTATGTATTTGTATTTCTTGTTAATATTTATGAGTACCTCAAATTTAAAATACATATTAATTTAATTATACTTTTAAGAAAAAAATGATAAAAACATCTCCGCAAAGGTTATTGGTTAATTAATACCTCTAAAGATATTCATAACTGAAACTGCTTAATGGTTTTCTAACGGTCCGATGAATTTAGAATCTCTGCATGGTGACTGCTGTGCATCCCTGCAACATCGATAGCTCATACCTATCGATTGGGCATCGATAGTTGTTTACCTTTTTTTCCCTAAAAAAAAGAAACATTTACAAAACAAAAGTTGTCGTTAATTGCAAATTACCAATGGCCAGAGGTGCGAACCAGTATGACAACTAAAATGTAAGCGGATATCCTGCGCAGGATACCACAACACACTTTCCCCGTTCCTGTCTGCGCCACACTTTAGTTAAAGGCCCCGCATAATTGCCAATTGTGCCGGATCATGGAACAGGAGCAGGATAATGAGCAGGAGCAGCTGATGGAGATGGAGCCGAAGCAAGAGATGGACGTGGCGCAGGCTTATATAACGCGGGCCAAGATGAATCCAGCCAAGAAGGACAATGAGAAGCGGCGACGCAAGGATGCCATGCGAAGGGTAATTAGTGCGCCTGTGTGTGTGCGCATTGCTATCGTGTGTGTTTTATACCCTTGCAGAGAAGGTTCCAATTTTGGCCACTATATGATTTAAATATTTCATATATCCTTGGAAAACATCAAGCAGAAGTTTGTATCATAGTGCCTCCAGAATATTATAACCTATTTCAGAGATCCTTTTTGGATGTCTATATCATTAATCTAAAAATATGAAATAATTAAACCTAGAGAAAAAACCTACTGATCGGTATTACGATTTATTGCTCATATTAAGTTTGCAAGGATGTTCCAAACTATCCCTTTTATGTTTATACTAAACCGAAATATTATTACAGGTATCGATGATATTGCGGAAATGCGACTCGCTGCGCTCACCGAGCGACAGTCAGTTCCTGGAGAAGCACCCGGATATAGTGAAGGCGACCAAGAAGCGCAAGGAGCGAGTTGAGATCTACAAAGAGCGAGTGGTGGAGCGCGAGGATGCGCCGCAGGTGATCGAGGCAAAGGTAGAGCAGCTGGCCAACATTATTTCACAGGCCAAGCACCTAGTTTGCTATACTGGAGCCGGAATAAGCACGGCTGCTCTGATTCCGGACTATCGCGGCAGCCAAGGCATCTGGACGCTACTGCAGAAGGGCCAGGATATCGGGGAGCATGATCTGTCCAGCGCCAATCCCACCTATACACACATGGCACTCTACGAGCTGCACCGCCGGAGACTTCTGCATCATGTGGTGTCCCAGAACTGCGATGGCCTGCACTTGCGATCCGGCTTACCGAGGCATTCGCTTTCCGAAATCCATGGGAACATGTATGTGGAGGTGTGCAAAAACTGCCGGCCGAATAGCGTTTACTGGCGCCAATTTGACACCACGGAGATGACCGCCCGCTACTGCCACAAAACCCACCGCCTTTGCCATCGCTGCTCGGAGCCTCTGTATGACACCATTGTGCACTTCGGAGAGCGAGGGAACGTCAAGTGGCCGCTAAACTGGGCGGGAGCCACTGCGCATTCGGAGCGGGCGGATGTGATCCTCTGCCTGGGCTCCAGTCTCAAGGTGCTCAAGAAATACACCTGGTTGTGGCAGATGGATCGGCCTGCGCGCCAGCGAGCCAAAATCTGTGTGGTTAACCTGCAGTGGACGCCCAAGGACGGGATTGCCAGTATCAAGATCAATGGGAAATGCGATCGGGTGATGGCGCAATTGATGCATCTACTTCACATTCCAGTACCCGTTTACACCAAGGAAAAGGATCCCATTTTCGCACATGCAACGCTTTTGATGCCCGAGGAGCTGCACACGCTGACGCAACCACTGCTTAAAAACGCTGACGAGGAGGAAGCCTTCACTACCACCACTGAAGAAACGCAAGACTCGACCATCTCCAGCGAGAGCTGCAGCTACAACTACTGCGACCTGCCCATTGGCAAGGGTCCCCGCATACGCACGCCCATCAAGAATGGGCGAAGGGTCAAGACCAACCTGGAGCTACGTCAGAAATTCAAGGTGATCAATGGCCAGGACGAGGAGATTAAGGTGGAGCAGGTGGAAACAAATGGGGAGATAAAAACGGAGATTGACACCACCCCACAGCTAAAGGATACACCCATTAAAATAGAGACTGAAGTGAAACTGGAAGAAATAGAGAGCCCGAACACCATTTTTAAGCAAGATCTGAATCTTCTGGAACTGCTGCCCAAGCTCGAACCTCTTTCCCTTAAAGAAGAAAAAGAAGAATCGGTGAACAATGGTTTCCTGGAACTGCCCAAGCTAGTCGCCATACAAAAAACTCATGTAGAAAGCGTTACCGCTCTCCCTGTTGAGCTGAGATTAGAGCCACTTCAGCTGCCTCCGCTGGTACCCATTGGAGCGCCACTGTCGACGCCCTTTGTCGAACCCAAGATGGTCCTGCCGCCTGCCTTTCAGTCGCTCAATATCCAGGTCCAGAGCGATGGCGATGGAGGCTCCACTACAGAAAATGATAACGAAGAGGAGGAAGAGGAAAGCGAACTGGCCCAGGTCGATTTGTTAAGGCAAAACAGCGATGAAGAGTTGCTCCGCCAGCTGCCGACTTGGTACGATGCCAAGTACGCGTACTCCGGCCTGCACAGCATCCTCATACCGCCACCAGCAGACCTGAACATCTGGAACTCGCAGGTGGTGCCAAACTTTGCGATGAATCGATCCGCAGCCAGCTGTGACTTCTGCTTCGATCGGTATGCGGAGCTAGAGTGCCAGTTCTATCGACGTTGGAACCTCAGCCAGCGCAAGCACAAGAAACGGGCCAGGAGCGGTCGGTTCGTGGTCTGCGATTGTTGTCCGACATCCGACGATGACGATGACTACGATGAGAATATATCCTTGGCACACATCGCAGCGGCGGAGACGGCCAAGCGAAAACAGCAGCTAAGCACGAGTTTCCCCAGGAAACTGGCTCGTACCCAAGCGGGATGGTACGGCAAGGGCTATAAGAAGGGACGGAAGCGAAGGTAGATGACCAGATGATAAATCCTTCACGGCAGTGATGGTCGCCCCTTAAACTAGGGTGGGTCTTTTTTTTTAAAGCTAAGCTAGCAAGACAAGTTTAAGTCATTGTTCTTTAAAAACTTCTGATCTTAAATTTGTTCTAAGAATACTTAAAGTGTAGGAGACCTGCCCTAACCGAGACATATGCTCGCTTCAATAGTATTTTAGCTTTAGGATAATAAGTCATAGCATAGATGGTAGTGCCAGCTAGCATAGGTTGAGGTTCCGTTTTCATAATTTGTACAAGTTTTTTAATATGTACCATCCGGGTGTCCTTGTCATTATGGATGATATTTTTACCTAAGGGAATGTCGCTAAGTTTTTGTCTATTTAAGTTATTTATTAAGTCAGTTATTAACTGTATTTTAATTGTGAAACTTATTTGTCTCAATTGTGAAACTCTTGTCTTGGTATTTCAGTATATACTTGCACTTGTTTAAGTACTTTTAATCAGTTTAAATTTTTCCTACAATTGCTTTTAATTTAAGCCAAATTATTTAGCGTTTTACTTAACCACGCTTAAAACCTATCTTCCGCCCTTAAAAATTTAAGTTAAATAAACAAAATGGCATTATGGTATAATGAAATGCTGTCGTGTTTTATTAATAACCCTTAAGTTGATTAATTTATTTAAGCACTGAACAAAATTGTACTCTTTTCTATATTATGAGAATTGAAATTGAAGACTTTTTTTTTAAATTCTAATTTAATCCGGTACCACCCTTATAAAAATCAGAACTCCAATCGTTTAGCTTTCATTATCTGTGTAGAACCAAGTTTATTGATTAACTTAAACTTAAAGTATTGCTATTTTAGTTGTAGTTTTGCGATCGCGTGTGTGTGAGTGCTTGTGTGTGATTAGGCATTCCATGCTGAGAATGACCGGAAGCGTATAATTGGCTTCCGCCCAACCTTCAGGAGGTTTCAATCCCTGTGTGGGTGTGTGAGTCTCACGTGGAACATTGCAAAATACCCAAGAATCAACAGAAGACCAGGCAACGGAAACAAACAAGGGAGAACTACACACATAGAAAACAGCAGGTTGATTAGATTAACGCTATCGATCGATATTACTCGGGGGGCAGGGCGTGGGCATGGGCGTGGACTTTTCAGGGTGCAAATACCGCACAAAACATAATACCTAGAGCTACGCCGGAGCTGCCAGTGGGCCAATATAAAAATACAAAGTTTCACAAATACGAATACAGATATGAATACAGGACGTGGATACGAGAAGCGGGTGCCAATTGAAATGTGGGTCTTTTAAATGCTCTGAGGACGCAATGTCAGCAGCGAATCACGTTTCCATATAATACAATTATCCAATTCCATAGACAGAAATAGGTCGCGTGCTTTGAGCACGTCGGCATTGAGATTAAAATCGCTGCGGCGATATTTTTGAGTAGCGTTTTGGGGGGAATGGAAATGGGAATGATTGCTTAGATGGGCCTGAGACTAGAGCCGGGTTCAGGAACAGCTGCTTAGGCCACGTAGATGAACATGTTAATATCGTCATCGTCGCGCCTCATGTATTTGTGCTCGATGAGCCACTCTAGCTGTTCCTTGATCATCTTCTTGGACGGCAGGAACATGTTCTTCAGTATATCGATGAGTTCACCCTGAAAAACAATTTAAGAATCGAACTTAGAATCTCTTGAATGGCCTTATTTCCAATCCAATTACTCACCTGGAGCGCAGCGTTGTTCATCCGTTTGCGCACCTTCATGATCTTGATGATGGCCTCTTGTGTGCGCAGAATGCGCAGCTGCACAATGGACTGATTGTCCTCCTGCTGCGAGCGTTCCGTGCTCAACTGCAGGCGCCCGATGAGATTGAGCTGGGGGAAGCAAACAGCGATTACGGATTGTCTACAAGTTATCTATTATCTGTACTCACTTTTCCTCGTCGCTGGGACTTGCCATTCTTGACGATGGCAAACTCTTGATTGATATAGAACATGGTGTTCTCGGCGAAATCCTTGGGCGAACTGATGGTCGCCGGCTCCATGAGCAGAATCTGCTTCTTTATTTTCGGGAACGCCACAAGTGACCAAAGAGTTCGCCTCAGTTCGGGATCTTTAAAATACAGACAAGGTTTTAAAACATAACTGAACAGCTAATAAATAGTTAACCCTAACCTGGCAGTTCAGTGGCCAGGCGAAGATTCTCGTAGGAGATCTTGTCGTGTTGCCGCTGATTCCAGGCAAACAAGACGGCCATTTGGAAGGTAGTCACATCCAGATCATAGCGGCCAAAGTTGTTCACAAAGGTGATGGTGCCGTTGCTCATGTGATGGTACCACTGAAGCTTGCGACCGGAATGCTTCTTCTTGTAGAACTCCTCCACATCGGGAATGTAGTCCTCCAGCTCGATAGGCAGTGAGACTGACACTCGCTCCGAGCACCGGGCCCAAGCGCCCGCGTTGAGTATTTTAATGTTGATAGCATCGTGCCGACTGATCGAGGTGCGGAATTGAGTATTCAGATCTTCGCTGACCTGCAGATTAAATAGATAAGTAAATTTGCTGAAGTCATAGATTATCTAATAGAACCCACCTTAATGTCCTGGAACATGCGCGCCAGCCGATTCACATAGTCCGCCGGCATGCCCACCTCGCGCAGCCACTCAACAATGTCCTCCTCCTTCTCGCTGTCCGCACTTGTTCCCAAAATCAAGCTGTAATTTTATGGAAATCATGAAATGTAAGATTCAACAAGACAATGAATCAGAGTTCCAAACTGTATATGACTAACTGTGTGGAAATAGCAAAAAAAAAAAGCTTAAGCGATACGTACAAATTGACCGAAAAAAACATATTCATTATACAAAATCGTTCTTAAATTAATATCAACTTGAGTAACCTTTTCGGGGAAGTAAATATTTGTGTACTTTTTTATTTCAGGCTTTTTAAAGTAACCAGGGAATCTTTGAAACCATTTAATTATACGCACTTACCGCCTCGTCAAATGAACTTTGTGGTAGCGCATGAAGACGTCCTTGTTGTTGACGTATTTCAGGACCAGCAGGACATCGCGCAGGCGTGCGTCGATCTGTTCGCTGGTGAGGCGCTTGCTGAGCGGCGTTCGTCGCAGCAGCATGTCGCAGTAGTTGGCCAGCAGTTCCGGGCATTTGCTCTCCGGCGCCGTGTATTTAACACCTCGGTTGGCGATGCTTGTGGGCAGCTCCATCTTGAACACGCTGGTGTCGTTGACCACCGTCTTAAAAGCGATATCGCGGGCAGTGAGGAAGCGGGGATCGTCGTTGAAGGCGTTGCGCACCAGGTCGCTAAACTTGTTGAACAGCTCTAGTAGCCGCTCTACGTATTTCTCCGAGTCCTGGGTGATCACCTCTGATGCGGACAGCATGTCGGCCAGTCCGGCGGACATAATGTGCCGCTGCAGGTCACCCATCATGGCCTCCACGCCCACGCCATGCAGCACGCGATCCATAAGGCGGAACATGAGATTCAAACGCTCCGTTTCATAGTCCCTGATCAAAGCCGGACACTCAGCAATAATGGAGTTCAGATGATCCACTATGAGCACCTTGACCAGTGTGTATGTGAGTATGCTGAAGCTGCTGGGCTCCAGATAACGCTTGGCCCTCACCTCCTCTTCTCGCAACTTGGAGTCGGCGTATTTCATGTAGGCCAGCACTCCATTTTCCTGCTGCTGCTCCGCCGACTTGAGGCGGTAGAACTCGGCGGTGGCCTTGAGATAGGCCATCTCGAAGTTCTCCCTGTAGATCTCCAGCTTGTCCTCGGCATTCGAGGAGAGATTCACATAGCTCTCGCGCACGCCCACCACCAACTGGGCATCGTAGGCGTCGCCATTCCGCTCGGCGTGCACAATCTTCATGGCCGACTCCTGCAGGCGGTGCTTGATGTCGTGGAAGATGTGCTTGTTCCATGAGTCCAGCATCAGTTTGCGCACGGGGCTGTCTTCCGTGGGATTTTTCTTGGAGCTGGAGGTACTACTGCTCCCGCTTCCGGAAGCCGCTGCCGCTGCAGCTGCTGAGCTTGTGGAGGCGGATGTGGAGGCGGCAGCAGCGGCGGCGGCTGACGTAGAGGCTCCGGCGGCGGATGAGGTGGAGGCTCCCGACTTTCCAGCCTGGCCGATGCAGGAAGAGCCTGAAGCTGCTGCCGCCGCGGCACTCGTACTCGCACCCGACGCGGATACGGATGCGGAGGCAGAGGAGGAACTGCCGCTAGTCGAGGGCTTCACCTGGGGAGACTGCTCAAGCTGGCGAAAGGGCAGCGGCAGGTAGTTGGACTGTGTGAAGAACTTGCGCCACTCCACAATGTAGGTGGCCAGGAGGGCCTGTTCGCCGCGTTGAGCCTGCACTTGACTCTGTGCCTGGACGATAAACTCGACGATGTCCTGCTGCAGACAGTCGTAGATCTTGGCCGCGCCCTTCTCGTCCCACAGGCAAACGAAGTGGACGCCAAAGAAGAGGTCCTGCCATTCGCGTTGCGACACCGTATCCTGGCGCAGGAGCTTTAAAACAATCCGCCTCTTGTCCGGCCAAACCTCTTCAAAGATGTCCCTGTCCCGTTTCCCCGTTGCCTGCCGCATAGCACAGAAACAAAATTAACACATGCGTATATGTATATAGATGATTCTCCCGCTGATCGGGTCACTTACCCGTAGCATTTTGATCGTAGCAATCTCTTTGTTTTTGTTGCTGGCTTCACTTCATTTATATTAATTGTGATACCAGATTCTATTAAAATTCAGCCAGCCTATCGTTTAAAACCTTTTTACCGATGATTTTTAAAACTACCAATCGGTAAAAATTGTTTGAAAAATTGTTCAACACTCAATTTCTTTTAAAGTGCGATAGATTGAAAAATAACTTTTATTTAACCAACTTCTTACAAATGTTAATATATATTTATAAACATAATGGTTTAATTATAAAATAAATACATATATATATTTAACAAGTAGGATTTCCCACACTTTAGTATCGCACTGTCCACAGTGAGCATTGTTATATTTAAAATATACGACAAAAAGCGCCTAATCGTAATCGCAACGGTGTTATATTTTACCTATTAATTTAATATAATTACGTGTTTCAAATTATTTATTTTCCATTTAAATCTTTTGTAATTTGAAGGTGTTGTACAACTTGTGATCTATGAAGTGCCTAAAAATCGGCTTCCACAATCGACCTATCGACTGTGGCAGTCGATAAAAACAAAAAACAATCCCGAATCTTCGGAATGCAGCAAAAGTGCGGGAAATCTGCGGAAATGCTGTAACTCGCAGACAATTAGGGAAAGTTGCCAAGCTCCGCGATCTTCAACTACCGAGGGATTCCGTTTAAAGTGTAACTGTCAAATGTTCTTGTCAATTGTTTTGTGAAATTCGCCAGTTTGCCCATTTCGTTTTGGTTTTTTTCTTCTCTACCTCTTCGTGCGCGAGTGAAACGGAAGTATTGTAAGCAACCATTTGCCGCTAGCCATCTCACTCTAGCACACGTCCCCGACCTAATGTCTGCGCGAGCGAATGTTTCGTGTTATCCAGGGTTGTCAGGCTGTTGCGATAGTTCTAGTTCCGCATTTCAATATTTTGCGTAATATTTTACGTTATGTTGATATAACAACCTTAAAGCCTGCACTGTTGATTTAAAAATAAATGATATTACTTTAAAGGGTAATGTTTATTTTTAATACATTACATACAGAGAACTAAATTTATAATACAAACAACTAGTAAAATATGTATATAATATATACACAATAAAAAAACAACAACTAAAAGCTTAGAGAAGTGCTTTTTAAAGGAACTATATAAATTTTTAAAAGTAAAGTTTATGTTAAAATTAATTAATAATGATTTTATTGTACCGCCTGTTTGTTTACAACCTGAGAAACTTTGGTAGACAGGTGGCAACCCTAATTTTCCTTTATGAAATTGTTCCGTAATGCTAATGGTATATTTTGTTAAATAGGCTGCGGTCACACTACATTCACCATTTCTCTTTGTTTGCGGCGGCGGCGCTCGTTGAAACGGCCGTGCAAAACGAATAAAATTGCAGAAAATGCGCTAGCCCCGTGCGGCAATGTAAATAAACAAGGCTCAGATGAGCAGTAGCCGATCAAGTGCGATTAACCAGCAAAATGCACGGAAAAAGCGATATTCAGTGACGAAAACAACAACTGCGTTCATTGACGTGACGCGCGAGCGTGAGTGTGTGTGTTTGTGTGTGCTGGCTGCATCCGTGTGTGCGTGTGAGTGATTCCCATGTGTGTGTTGTCAAAAATGCGTTTTTAAAAACAAGCCAGCAACAAACAAATCACCACAACACGTCACAAATTGCAATAGTAGAAGCAACAACACCTAAAATCAAAAGCCCCCAACAACAACATCTGTCGTGTTCTCAGAGTATGAAAAAAGGAAAGAGAGAGGGGGCAAAAAGAAAGTCAACAGTCGCGTGTGAAATGAAATTAAAAAAATGTCCGTGTGCTTGTGTGTTGAGTGTATAGAATTGAGTAAGAAGCAGCGCGGCAAAAGAATATAAGTAATAGCAACATCGAAAACGGAGCCAGCAACAACAAAAAATAACCAATGAAGCAATAAAATTTGGCATAATATTGCAATAGCCGACGTTTGTCTCTAAAACCCCCCAAAAACCACACAACACAAGAAGCACAAATCTATTGCCAATGAGTCGCAGACAGTCATTGGATCGACCAGGTGAGAAAATACAAAAAAAAAAATTACAACAAAAAAAATCACACTCGTAATCACACTAAATTTTGAGGGCGAGAGCCTGCAGCATCCGATTTTGATTTTTAAAATGCACTTTGCGCATGTTCTCCTCTCGCTGTTTTGCTCTCGCTCTCGCTGCTCTTCGTTTTTGGGCTAAAAATAAACGCGCTCTCTCGAAACGCTGGCTGCGCAGCTGCTCCCAAACTCTTGAACTTTGTAAACATCTCCAACAATCCAACTATTCGGTTATTGTACAGTGACAAAAACTACTATTTTATTTAATAGTTAAAAAACTAAATCACAAATATGAATGGAAGAGGAGACAACTATTTTCCTTGCTCGCTCTTCACTCGCTCGCTATTCTATTTTTAACACGAATTTCATCACTTGAGCGGGGAAAAGAGAAAGTATCTGTCACTGTCTTAAGCAAATGTAAATGTGGCTCATATAACCCTCCTGTTTTTAAGTGTGTGTGCGTCTGGGAAGAAAGCAACCAAAAGCCATAAAAACTAAAAATTCACAAACTTTGGTTTTTTGGTTTGTTTTGTTCGTGTTTGGTTTTTGCCAGGGCCATAAATATTATGGAAGAAATAATTACATGATAAAAGGCAGACGAATTAATTTGGGTTGTTTCTTTTTTAGCTTATCAGTATCGATAATTTAATGAATAAGAATAATTTATTCTAGCATTCTCTAAAATCTTTAAAGAACATTGTTCTCAATATTTTATTTTAAAAATCATAACCAATCATACAATATTTTAAAACATTTCTTTAACAAAAATGTATCATTTCTAAAAACCTAGAGAAAGTGTTAATTGTTATTGAAAAACTGTTCACTTCTTTTACTTATCTATTTATTACTTTATAATTGTATTTATTTTGTACATTATTTTTGTTGTTTTTATTATTCTTCCTGTTTTCTTTTTTGAATATAACATCTTTGAGGTCAACGAAATGCAAGGTAGACTTGTCATGTTAGAACAAAAAACATTTTTTTAGACAACGAGAAGAGAACACTTATCTAGAATTTTCACTGCCATGCTGGGTCTGGGTAAATAATAATGGGTTCAGGCATAGCTGCTTGGCGTTGAGGAATGCTGTCCACTTATCAACTGCAATTAGCGTTGAATGCTAGTCGTGCATCGCTTGGAAACTCAGACTGTCCGGCCCCTCGCACACACACACACCCACGCATGTTTGTGTGTTCCTTTAATTTATTTATAACATTCAATGTAAACTGTGCTCAAGCGCCAGCACAAACAATTTTCGATGCAAAGCAAAGACAAGAGCAACAAAAACAAGCAGTAGGATTTGCTTGATTTTTTTTGTATTATTTTCCGCTTTTGTAGGTCAGGGTTGTCGTGTGTAATGCAATCGTACAAAACGTGCCAGCAAATTGAATGAATAAGCGTGGCTAACGACAAACCGCCCATATATTCTATTGCACTTGCATTTACAACAATTGCAGGGTATTGTCAAAAATTACACATAAATATATAAAGCATAGCATCAAGTCTAAGTAGCTACGATTAATTGGTTCGCGAGAACTGCAGCTAATAACGGGTTTAAGGCAGGTTAAACTAACTTGATTGTGATCTATGATATTCGCAAATAGTTTCCGTTTCTACTTAAATGTAACAAGCCTGTTGCTTTTTTTTAGTTGGTAACCTAAAACGATAAAGAATTAAGTGCTTAGTTTGGTTTCCATTTTGTATATTAAAAAAATTAGTAGTTTATAATGCTTTAAAATGTGTAATGATAATTGTTGAGAAATTATTTTTTAAGATCTTACAAAACATCGAAAACAGCGATCGAGTTATGAATTTTACAAAAATTAGTTTTGAGTTATAAATCGGTATATGTCAGAGAATTTGTTTTATTTTGTATTTTTAGAAAAATTGTTTCGAGTTATTTAATAACTTCTTAAAATGAATACACAACATTTCGTTAAATACAACTGGAATGTGATTTTTCGTGAGTCGTACTTCTTAACAATTCGATTTCCTAATCTACACTGACCCTATTTCTACCCAGTACCGATAATGTTATCGATATTTACAGTGTTTACATGTGATACGAGGGGTAAGCGAATATACAAAGGCGTGTTGGCATGTTTACACTGAAAATGTTTTTCCATCTACCGGTTGATTGATTGCCATTATTATTGTCTGGGGAAAATCGCTCTGGGATTTCGGCTTAAACTCGATTTAGAAAGTCGAGCAGGAATTCACCCTTGGAATTTATTTGGAGAAGGCGTTGAAGCCAATATTATTCGATTTGTTTTTATTTCTTCGATTTTCGCACTGTCTTCTTCGCGTTGACGCGTGACAAGGAGTCATTAAATTCTGTTTAAGGTAAAATCGATTTTCCAGGCCATTAGGCGCCATTAGAATCGTCGCCTATTTAAATTTTCACATGGTTTAATTGTATTGCGGTGACAGTTTGGGTCAGCATTATTTATTAATCAATAAATAAATGAGACCTTATCAAGGTTACTGTTTTGATTGTGTAGGAACTTTTTTTTTGTAAAACATTTCGTAATGTTTATATGGAATTAACCAACCGATAAGCGATAACTTGTTGCTGTTCAAGTGCAAATACAGTAGATGTTGAACAAATTTAAAATTTAAAAGAAACACAAAAATGTGATATTTTTAAGTTACCCAGTACCTTGGGGTTAATAAAATGATATAATAAAATGATATAAATCGTTAACATATGTATGTAGCTAGCAATATATTAATTTCACCATTTTTGTATATTTGATTAAAATCTCGATAATGATTCAACGATTCTTTCAATGACTCATAATGGTTACATACATGTATGCAAAGTGAACTACATATATATATTTGCTTATAAGTGCTAATGTTCGTGTTATAAAGAGCTTTATTGGAACTTATTCCTTGTGCCCAGTATTACATTCGCTATAAATTTTATTTGCTTATCAACTGAGAGTTTTGGGGGCGACGCTCTACCAAGGTTTCGTTTTCTCTCACGATAATTTTCCAGCAATTTCTCTCTGGACTCGAGTTGTTATCAGTGCATTTGTTCTTTGTTGTGCCTAATTGCTCTTGGCATTTTCGCTTTTGTGCAATGATTTACGAGTGCCAGGCAAGGCCAAGAACAATGTCGGGGAATGAAAATTTGATTAGCATATAGAAGGGTCCCTAAAAACTCCTTGTCGCAATGCCAAGCATCGTCATCCTCGTCGAGTCACATCATTAATCTTGGCACACAAAAGAGCCTCGACCTCATCTCGGAGCTGCAAAAAAGTTGGCAAAAGTTGCCAAAGCAACGCATCGGGCTATTAACTCCCCTTTCTTTCTTTCCCACCAGCACTTTCCGTTTTTGGCTTTTCCCTAATTAAATTGCTTTGATTTCTTGGAAATCTGGGAAAGTTTTCTCATCTAGCGTCGAGGCTTGTGCAGCAAATTACACGAATCCTTGTGGTTTCCCGTTTTTTTTTCGTCGAGGTTGTCACTTTCTTTGCCGGGTAATAAAGCTGGTTGCCAGCTAAATCAATTTGATTCTGGGTTCTAATAATATTTTTGTTTTGTTCAACATAACAACTTTTTTAGCGAAACAAAAAAACATTTCCACGGGAATTTATAATTACTCTCCATGTTTTTCTGATTTTAGTTGACTTATTTTAATATGTCAATATTGTTTAATATTTTATGGAAATAGATCTTTTTAGCAAAGATACTTCAGTTATTTTTTATTTAAATATTTATTTTTATTTGTTAGCTATCCAGAGGAATTACAAGAACTTATTTGCTCATTAATTAGAAATGGCAACACCAATCAATTTTATAAAAAAAATTAGCTTCTAAAATTGGTAATGACTTAAAAAGCAAAATAATCAAATTATTCCAAAAATGAGACGAATCCTTGGGGTTGGCCATTTGGCGGTTGAGTAAAAAGTTGACACATCTTTTTGGGGGTTAATCGCGCGCCGCTGGCTGCGATGTGTATCTATCTATTAAAAAATCGGGGCGAGTCGAAGTGGCCAAAAGACGATGTGGAAAACGACGACGACGACAATCGCGAATGCGCTCTCAGGAAATTGTTTTTGGGAGCACGTCGGAATTAGCGCCAATAACAACGGGAATGCGAGCAAGCCAGTCAAAAGATGAAGCCTCGTGGCGAAGTCAATTTCACATGGGTTAAATGGGAAAATCATCTATGAACGAAAAGATTTTATTAGGAGAAAATATTTAGTAGTAACCAAGTCAAAAAAAATTTAATTTATTGTAGTTAAAACCTGCATAGTTTTCTTAATATCGAAAATCAACAAACCTTGTAAAATAAAAATCATTCAAAACAAATAACGCAAAATAGTAGGCAATACTATTTAGGATGTGAATAAGTTTTCCAACACTTTTCAGGAAATCGCAGGCTTTCATGTCGTTTATTGTTGTGGCACATTCCAAATATTTCCCCCTCGACTAATCGACCAATTTCCGATGCTGTGTCCATGTATCATCCCAGAGCTGAATTTCCACTGCCGGTTGCCAGTTGTGAACTGTGGCTGGGGTCATTACGGAGGCCAAAAGGGGGACAGACGTAGCCTGGGCATAAATTATTTTTGCCTCTGTCTAATATGGCGGCGACGGATATGCGGCTGATATCCGCCGGTTAGACATGTATCATACAGCGATGTTTAGTTGTTTAGATACACTTTGCGAAGTTTACAATTGGCCAAAAGTTCTCTTTATTACCATAAAAATTTATAAAAGTCTGAAAAAATGATTTTAAAGGGACTTGATAAAGACACATTTTACGTATTCATTTTCTTAGCTTTTTAGCTTTAAAAGAAATGTTAAGTCGGTTTTAGAACACCTTTTTTGGCATTAAAAATATTTTTGTTCTTCAATAGTCGTAAAATGAATAAACCCTTAAATTACATATTTCCAAAATTGTCTAACCGCTACCGTGTATTGAGTGAGTGTAAGTATCTCACTCCCCTTTAATCGAATC